CTGGGCCAAATACTACGTTTTTCATCTGGCCCAAATCTTGTGTGCCGCCTTAAAGACGGTGCCACCTCTGCCAAACCCGGGCCATGTTTGGCCCACATGCTGTATGCCAGTGCCGGACGAATGCCTGCTGTGCCAGCTTTATGCCAAATCTGGGCCAGAATTCTTTGCTACTAGGGATAGCTTTCCTATCAGAAAGTGCACACTGGTTCTGCAAGTAGGCAGCTGTCGACAGCTGTCTGTTCACTGTTCTGCCGCGCCACAGAGAGCCATCTGAATAGTTTCGTTTTAAAGAACATGCGAATGTTCACATTCGGCAAATGTTACTTCAAACTGTCATATGCGGCGCATCCGGTGTGCGACCGGCTTCAGAAGACTGGGACCTCAGGTTTAAGGAGGCACTCATGTCTCATCACAAAGGGGCAAACAAAATAGACATTAAACCTAAAATCTTTGCACAACCTACAGTTTTATCTGTTATCTCTCTCTTTAGGTAGTACCCAATTAAACGTGAGATTTCAGAAACCAGGTCTAAATCAGTTGGGTCAAGTACAAAATTATTCTAAGCGGGCAGCGGGTAAACAAAGACTCAGAAAAGGAACAAAAACATCATCAAATGTCACTTTAGGGGTTCAACTGTAATCATATGAAGCTCCAGGAACACTTTTGTGTGCCAAAATAATGTAAAAGCATCTTTGTTCACCAATGTCTTCCATATCAGATCAGGGAGTCTGTTTGTGTGTTCAGTGCTGCCTCTAGTGGCAATACGAGATACTTAATAAACATGTGCACAAAGCATTTACATGTTCTTTTAGTGTGCTTTCACACTTGCCTTATTTAGTTGAGTTGAATCGCACTAGAGTTCATTTTCCCTCTTGGTGCGGCTAGTTTGGGCAGGTGTGAATGCAGCAATCGTACTCAAGTTCGAATCAAAAGCAGTCCAAAAAATCGTACTGAGACCTGCTTGAAGAGGTGGTCTCGTTACGCCTTCAAACGAACCCTGGAGCGGTTCGTTTGTGGTGAGAATATTATCCATACTAAAACAGGTCCAACCGCAAAAAGTACTGTGCCTTTTGGACTAATCCAGCTGCTGAAGGGCGATGTGCTGTGCATTATGGGATATGTAGGAAAAATATTTGTTGACAGCGCTTTACCAACAGAGAGAGAGAGAGAGGGGAAAACATTACCTGATAGATCGTTGGTAATATTTCCACAAGATGACGACGTCGCAGTTTAGCTAAATTGACTAACGCCTCCTCCTGAAGTGACGAGCGATGCATTAAAACACTGTTTTCCAGCAGCATCCACGCTTTATTCTCAAAATGTATAGTTTGTCTAAAGCAGGGATACAATCAGTCAGGGCAGTCGTCCCTCCAGAGTAAAAAGCGACATTTTGTGTCTGCCGGTTTGTTTACTTGCAGGAGTTCTTTCACGTTTTCCTGCACGTACATTCTGACCAATCAATAAGCAGTTTAGGTACTATGTTCAACAACATCTGGCCAATGAGTAATGTGGATTTTGTCACATGACTGCATTTTGGTCCTTTTCAACTGGTTAGAACCAAAGCCAACAGTGTGGTGTGAAAACGACCCAAAGACGGCAGAAAATGCAATAATGTATCATTTATTGCCCTTGGCCCAAATGAAGCAAACTACAGATGTAAAAGCACCCTTAGGGGCTGTAAATGTGACAGTAAGAGATATTCTGGTTGATTACCCACTGTAGCTTGTGTTATCTATAGATAAGGACAATTTGTTAAACTGTATTATTGTTTCTTACAATCAGAGATCCCCAGTAAGCAGCACCAGTGTGGAAGAAGAGATAATATCCATGATTTGTACACACGATTCCCAACAGTATGGTCAACACACCAATCATTATCTGCACAGTCTGTGAGAAATAAGAGTAAACAGTGTAAGAGTGATGAGAGTATTTCATGAAGTAAAGCAGAATAACATGCTGTGTGTTAATGTGTGCTATACTAACATCAAAAATAATTGTCTGGGTTTATTTCTCACCCCGAGGGCTTTTGGTTGGCCTTTAAGAAAGGCCTGAATTCCTTGAAGAGGTGAAACTCCTGCTACATGCTGTATGCGCACAGGCACAGAAGAACTGGTCACAGTTGCTGTTTGTGTCAGTGGTTGAAGCTGGATGACAATCGTTGAAGGATTCATGGCTCCGACAGTCACCATTTCAATCTCAGAGTATAAAATCAACCTGTACAAAATCAGCAAAACAGGATGCCGTTATCAGTACAATATAGACACCGGTAAACCTTTTGTCTTCAGTTTATTTCCGACAGAATGTGTATTTACGTCTGAAAACATGAGCTGCAGCATTCAGGAATGTTTTTTTTTTTTAATTTAAAGTGTATCTGGACACAGCTTTAACACCACATTGTTACGGTGCCAAGTCTATTTTTGTGGTGCTGCTTATGTTTAACTAAAGGGACAATGCATTGATCACCAAAAACACACTGAATGACAGTAAAAAAGTAGTTAATTTAACCAAAAATGTGCATTGGTAATCCACTGATTTCTAAATATTCAATCAAATTAACTTAAAAATACAACAAAGATAAAAAAAAACAACTTTAAATAATTTAATAAATAAAAAAATATTGACTACCTACAAAGCCCTGAATAGCTTAGCTCCCCAGTATTTGAGGGAGCACCTGGTGTTTTATAGGCCCTCTCATCCACTACGCTCAATTAATTCTGGACAAATGTTTATTCCCAGAATATCAGCATCGACTGTAGGCAGTAGATCTTTCTCTTATCTGGCACCTAAACTCTGGAACGGCCTTCCTAGCACAGTTCAGGAAGCAGACACACTCTGTCAGTGTAAAACTAGATTAAAAACACATCTCTCTGCATTAGCGTACACACAAAACACACATGCTGTTGAAATCCAAATCCTCTAAAGGATTGTTACATTATAATTTGATCGCAATCTGCGATTATGTTAGTCTGTTTTTCTTATTCCCAAGGTTTCCATAATGCTGGACCAGACCATATCCTGAGCAGATGCTGTGGTGGTCATGGAGACTGTAGAAATTTAAAAACCAAATAAAAAATGATGTACAGCTGCCAAAAATTCAGCATCTTGCTCAGAAAAAAGGTTCTTGATCACAAACAAAACATGAACCCTCCTCTAGCCTTAATGTTACTGCAGATCACCAGAAAGCCGGTCAAACTGGTTTTGCACCTTACACTTGCTGTGAATGTAAAGGTAGAGAGGGATTCGTTAGCCACCCCAAACCAGTACAGAATAATGATGTGTGTCTATCAAAGATGATGTATAAATCACATGAATTCCTGCATACCCGTTCACACTGCGGTCCGATAGCAAAACACCAGATTTGTATCAGATTTAACACCATGTTTGAAAGTGGCACAAATCAGATCAGATGCCATTCGGTTTGGGCTGTTCACACTGCCATGACCAAAACAGATCTGAGTCACATGTGGGCAAAAACATCAGATTCAGACCACATTGACCTGCAGTGTGAACGAAGCCTAAAGTCACTGTGTTAAACTGTAGAGTTGAATTTTCAACATCAAAAGTGGTCAGAGCAGAGATCAACATCCCATAATGCAATTCACCACCAGAATTCAACAAAAACACACAAAATACAGAAACTTTTTTAATGAACAGAGGTGTAATGATCATGTGTGTTTAATCAATGGAAAAATCACAGCTCAAGTTTAAAATGATCAACATCACCTACATTTTAAAAGCCATTCAAGGTCCACTTGTTACCAAATAAAGGAAACACATCCATTATTATTACTTTAGAAAACACAGATATAATAAGTATTTTAGTATGTAACGTACTGTCTTACCTAAAGCAGAATCCCGTCTTCAACTGTGCTTTGACTTTCTCTTCTGCTGTAACTTTACACCAGCGCAGTGATTCCCAGAAAGAAACAGGAAGCAGGAGGAGTTTTCTGCAGAATGGCCGCAGGTAAAGAGCCTCTCCCTCAAGCTCTCGGTTCGTTTTTTTTCTATATATATATATATATATATATATATATATATATATATATATATATATTTTTTTTTTTTTTTTTTTTATTTATTTATTTATTTTTTTTGCTCTTTTATTTGGGTTCCTAACGTTCCTTGCCAGATGTGAGCCTTGGATAGCATTGTACCTTCACAGGCCTCTTTATTCGGTACACCTTACTATTGTAAGGAGTTAAAGCAGTGCCGGGTTAAACCCTTATTTGCTTTCAGACCTGTCATAATCCATCGTGGCATATGTAACCTTTTTTTCCTTTAAGCTATGGACTCCAGATTAAAAGAACCTGATAAATATTACTCTTTATACAGTATACACACACACTACTACATCTTCTAATAGTGGAGAATATCTATGAATATGATGCTCCAGTTCAGAATCTTTTATTTTTTTAATTACAATATACTTAATTTTGGTCAAAAACTTCATATGTTTGTTTGAATGATAAAAACATTTCTTATCAGCCAATCACATGGCCTTTAGGCATGTAGACATGGTCAAGAAGATCTGCTGCAGTTCAAAGTGAGCACCAGAATGGGAAAGAAAGGGGATTTAAGTGACTTTGAGCGTGGCATGGTTGTTGGTCCCAAACAAGCTGGTCTAAGTATTTCAGAAACTGCTGATCTACTGGGATTTTCACGCACAACCATCTCTAGGGTTTACAGAGAATGCTCCGACAAAGAGGAAATATCCAGTGAGCGGCAGCAAGGGTAAGATTTTGGTTTTCTTAGGATTTCAGGATTTAAAGCAGTGATTCTCAAAGTGTGGTATATGTACTGCTGGTGGTAAACAGGCTTCTTCTAGTGGTATGCAGAGAAATCATAGAAATAAAAACAATGTTAAAAACACATTTAACCCTTTGTGTCCTTCAATCACACCAGTGTGATCACAACGTTCAGTTGCATCACGTGATCAGTTGCTAAATCCAAATCTGCTGTCCTGCAATTACATGTGTTGAGTCAGAGAAAGACACCTGCAATGTTATTGATAAAGCAAATCCAATTTATTAGTATACAAACAAATAACAATTAGGTAACAAATACATATAGGTAGTAGCAAAACAGACAAAAATACTCATGTAAAATACACAGTTGATGACTATAATAATCATTTGACACATAATCTGATGATGCGCTTTATTCAGATCAGATACACAAGGCATCAATGAATGTTCACAGCATCAAAGCAGCAGATCCACCGCTCTGCCCTGTTTTTTCATGTTGATTCACATTTATTTGCCTTCAGTGTACGCTGGGGGAGCTTCTGCAGGAGGATGTTGAAAGCATGGTTCGGGGACTTCTTGAGGGCATTGAATGTACTGTGGGGGCATTTCTGCAGGAGGGTGTTGAATTAAAGGGCTGCTGTTCACAGGAATCTGCAGGATAAAATGTACATGGTCAGCTTGTGACGGTCGTCATTACATTTTTCGTTATTATCATATGAGGGATGTCTGATTTGGTTACAGCTGTCAGCTGATGAAATGTTATTTAGAGCGCATTGGAATGGGTTCTTGCGCTCTCATTCATTCCTTGTCACGCAGTCAGCATGCAGGTGATTCCGGGTCACGGAGGGGTCATGCTGACTGTGTGTTTGTAGAGAGCGCGCTGCGTAGTTGTTGCTTCGAGTCCGGATTGTAACAAAATGTGTATTTTCGTGCTGGTTGGTCTTATGCTGCGTTCACACCAGATGCGGAACGTGCGTCAAGCACGAGTGATTTACATGTTAAGTCAATGCAAAAGCACGAATAGACATCCTGCGGCGCGATACACGCGGATGACGCAAATTGCGTGGGGCGAATTGAGCGTTTTGCGCGTTTGACGCACTTAACGAGCGTTTCGCGTGAATCTCTCGAAAATCTGAACTTCAGCGTACATTCGCGCCGCGTTAACCAATCAGAAGCTTGCTCTTGTGGGGGCGTGATTGTGACTTAGAACCTCTTGTCGGTGTTCCGAGGGAAATCCTCCATCCTTCACAGACAACAGTTCATCAAACTGGGCTTGGCTCAGTCAGGAGCACCACTGAAAGCCTCCGTCATCCAGGTTAAATTTCTGCAGGAGTTTATGAGCTCACAGAGCTGGATGCATCTCTGAAAGGATGTAGTGGACTCAAACACGACCCTAAACATATCAACGCTGTTTTTCAGTCTTCATAAAGCACATAAACACTGTTATTTTCTTCATAAAATCCATGTTAGCCATTTAGCTATGAAGCTAGAGTCTTGGGTAGACAGAAGCCCATCTGCCCATCACGCGAATCCGTGTCTGTTCTGAAGTGAATTTGACGCGCAAATGAAGCGATTAAATTCAAATGTTCACGCAGCTATTTACAAGCGAATAGCACGATTTATCTACGCGTTCCGCGTCTGGTGTGAACACAGCATAACTTTGTGGGAGTGGCTGTGTTCCTTGAAGTTAGACGCGGGATCGAAGGTTTGAGTGTACGAGTATGTTTTAATGCGCACGTTGAAGCAGCGACATTTAGGAATGAAAAAGCTTATTATTTTGGCGGAGGTTTTGTTTATGATGCGTGGTGAACGTATCATGCGTTCGGCTTTGTTTGTGGAGTGAGGCATGTGTTTATTTTTATTTTGCTGCTCGAGTTGCCTATTTGTTTTGGGTTTTTCTTTTTTGTTTTGTTGATCATTGTTCAACAATTATTGTCCCATTACCAGTTGCTCACACGTTTAGAGTACACATTAAAGGTTTTGTGGATTTTTACTTCACAAATCACAAATTGTTTTTTAAGCACACTGAACTGAGCTAACTGAACTGAACTTAAACACTAAAAACTGAACTACCCTGATCCAGTTACTATGACCATTTATGTGAAGCTGCTTTGACACAATCTACATAGTAAAAGCGCTATACAAATAAAGCTGAATTGAATTGAATTGTTGTAATTAGGGTTGTAACAATATACCGGTATGACGGTCTACCACGATTTGAACGTGCATGATTATCATACCATGAACAATTGCATATCAACGGTTTTAACCCTTAAAGACCGAGACAGCCGCCCGCGGCTAAAAATAAGTATTGCTCTTAAATGTTTAATAACTTTTGATCCGCTGATCCGATTCATACAATTCAAAGATTGACATAAAGAAGAGAATCGCAGCTTTCCAGTGCTGTATCACATAACATTCACGGACTTTTAGAGGCTCTGGAATCAGTGCAGTTACGTCATCAACATTTGACAACGCTGATTTGACAAAAAAACGCTCGTCACTGTGTCTGAAAATATATTATTTGGAAAAAGTCAAATTTGCTTCACTGTTCTATTATTTTGTAACATACTGTATACCGCAAAACCGTGGTATTGTTTTAGACGATTATCATACCGTAAAAAATTCATACCGTTACAACCCTAGTTGTAATGTGGTTTGTGTGTGAATACAGAACAGAGATTGGATGATTTAAACAAAACAAAAGAAAAACATGTCATTGGTTTCTGTCTGGTCTGCATGAAATCCAGATTTACAATGTTTTGCTAGCGCACATTGTTAGTCTTGAAGGAAACAATTCTGTCATCATCACAGGCTGATTGGTCACCTAATCGGCTCCTACATCATTAACTACATGGCGCAGGAGATTGGTTGCTGTCGCCTCAACAGACAATTGTCTTCGTAAACTTTAATCAAAATGGTGAAATTATTAAATAAGTCATCATATTTAAATAAAGTCTGCAGCAACTTCTGGTTCACATGGACTTTAAGGGTATGAAGGGTATGATTTAAGAGTAAAGAATTACAGACAGATATTGGGTTTGTTGGTTCTTGTGAAACCTCAAAACCTCAAGTCTTAAAAGTAGCTTTATCCTTTACACCTAAATTTATCTGATGGGTTCAGCTGATGTATTTCTCACCTTAGGTTTACAGCAGCAGGCGACTTTACAGGCAAACACAGACAGGGAGATGGAGATGAAGAACTCAAGGATGGCGAACACCAGCAACACACCACTGATTCTTAAGAAAATATTCTGAGAGAACATTCAACATGAGCATAAAGGACAACAACGACAACAAAGTGAGGTCAATAATTTGTAGTCCTTTAAACCTAGTTCACACTATAAGATTTGAAACATCGGCAGATTGAAGTGCTGTTCACACTGCTTTTTTTTTGTGTCTTCAGTATACTATTGGATTTCTGTCTGTAAGATGTCAGTGATGCGTCAGTAAGCCTATTCGATGCGTTGTTTAGTAGTTCATACATAAAGACTGCCAAGCGCCGAGCACCCGCAGATTTTTCCCCGATCTGCTGGCTAGCTCGTTATCTTCCTTAAAATCCTGTAGTGTGAACTAGGCTTTAGGTATACTGATGAAACTAAGTGATGTTTAAAGATGCCATAGAATAAAAACCTGGACATACCTAGGTATTCATTTTCAGTACATGCATACATTGAACCTCAAACACCCTCCTCATTGTCATGTAAATCATGCTAGTGTAAAACTCAAACACTGACTCTTAGAATGCACTTGGATCCACACTCAATTTCCACAACATTTACTAAAGAGATTTTTACTATTAAGGCATTATAAAGCTTAAACTTTTCCATCCAAGAACCAATTTAAACCATCAGTGCATTCTGTGGTACCTTTAATTTCAATATTTGTATCCAGTGTAAATGAACAGTAATATCTTGTCAAGTTCTGGACAGCATTGGACAGATGAGTGCAGATTACGCTTGATTTTTACAAGTGCACCGGTCACACAGTGATCTTACTGTAATTATAAAATAAAACATTAATGCTAAAATGATATCAATATAAGAGGTGATGACTTACCCAATGATTATAAGAATAATATGGTTTTGCCCAGTAATGGTAGATGGATCCAAAACCCAAATCCATTGAATGTACAATAATGGAAATGCCCGCAGCTATAGCACTGAAAATGTTCATCCCGAGGGAAGCTCTCACCTACAGTAGACACACAGAAATAGAAAGGTTTTGTATCATGTTGTGTTAACACACTGTGGTTAAGCAGATGATAGATTATATGGAAAGTGATCTAAATTAATTGAGAAAAATAGAAAATATAAGGTCTAAGCACTAAAGACTCATGTGTATAATAAAGTGACTGCATGGAAAGTCTCTCTGTAGAACGTTTTCAGTCTGATCACTAAACATTTGCTAGTAAATGTGTCGAGTTATGATCAACACTGTTTACTTCAGCTCACTCTATTCAACCCCGCACAGGAGAATAGAGTGGCTGAATTTACAACACGTCAATTCACCAACTCCTACTAAATTACAAGAAAGTTAGTGGCTGTTTAACTGGGGGAAGAATAGTTTACCCTGATATCCTAATCATTGTGTGTCTATTTTAAATAAAACTCTGTGCTAGTGTACCGGGGCAGCTGTAGTCTAATGTGGTTAGAGAGTTGGACTTTTGATTTAAAGTTTGCAGGTTTGAGTCTTTTATTATTATTATTCCACCACTATCTAGAGTTTGAGTAAAATGGCATGTTTAGGTTCTTTCTAAAGAGTTTCAAATCTTTAAATACTGCAATGTCTGCTTTCAATACTCTAGTAGCACAGAAAAAAAGAATATTTATGCATAAATCCTTACCCACCAAATTTTACAAGCACCCAGTGTTTAGACCCATGAAAAGATCAAGTGTTGTGTACATACCAGACACAAAGCAGGTGGTGAATTAATTTTGTTTTCAGCAGCAATGGAGAGCGAGCCTGCAGCAATGTACTGAGAACAGAGAGAAGAGCAAAACTTAAAGCTTATGTTGGATATATATATATATATATATATATATATATATATATATATATATATATATATATATATATATATATATATATACACATGTGTGTGTGTGTGTGTGTGTGTGTGTGTACATTGTATTTAATCAGAATGAGCATTTTACTGGCACGTGAAGCACTTCCTCAACCACTAAATGCATTTGCATTCTTCTTTGTTACACACTAGACCTGTCAAACACACATAGCATAGTGAGCTGGTGGGTGTAATCACAGTGGTCTGTCGGAGGAAATCTTCAGGAAAATGCATTCAGCACTAACTATAATTGACTAAGAGCTAAACCAAATGGAGGGGATATAAACACACTAACTACATTAGATAACTGACAAGAACCTTGCGATATCACATGAGAACTAATCAAAAGCCATAGCTACTAGCAAGTGATCTCAAACCTGTGAGGATTCCGCCACTTCGGTTTTGTCAATTCTTGTTTTTGGTGGCAGGACACTAGTCCTGTCTTGTCTTGTATGTTGTGCTTCCTGAGAGTTCTCTGATGTCCTGTTTCTTTACAGTCTAGTTTGTCTTTTTAGTTATGTTTTTCCTCGTCAGGGTTGTATTTGTTGCCTTTTTGTTTTTTGTTTTTTGAATTATTAATAAAAACCCATTATTGACTGCAATTGAGTTCTTGTCCTTTTCCAACCTCAACCGTGACAAAACCAGGGCAATACATAAGAGAGTAAAAATATACATTAAAAACAGCTGAAGCAAATCTATGCAAATGTCAATCTATCTGAAGTTGACCAATGAGGAGGACTAACCGAACGGTGAGCACGGTATGATTCAATTCAATTCAATTCAATTCAGCTTTATTTGTATAGCGCTTTTACAATGTAGATTGTGTCAAAGCAGCTTCACATAAATGGTCATAGTAACTGGAACAGTGTGGTTCAGGTTTTAGTGTTTAAGTTCAGTTCAGTTCAGTTTAGCTCAGTTCAGTGTGATTTAATCATTACTGAGAGTTCAAACACTGAAGAACAAATTCATCGATGCGTAGCTCTACCAATCCTGAACCATGCGAGGCAGTGGCGACAGCGGAGAGGGAAAAAAAACTTCACCTGATGGGAGTGAAGAAAAAAAACCTTGAGAGAACCAGACTGTGTGTGCCATGATGTGATGTGTCATGTATAACAGGGTCATCAGAGATGATCATTTACAGTGAATTTCACATGAACTTCAGCTTTCAGCTGAGATGTAGCACTTACAGGTGTATGAGTTTTACATAAGCTCACTCATGACATGCATTAACATATCAGTATAAATCTTTCTGGAAACTGGGAATAGAGCCATTGTTTGCATATCTTTTCCATACTGTGACGCAGACTCTGATGCTGAGAACTGTGGTAGAGGAGTGAGGCCGGTGTCATGGGTCTTTAACAAGCGTGAAGTCCTGTGGAGGAATTTGAGATGGACACTTCTGTGTTTACTTCATGATTAAAGTTGTAGCATGTTCGCCGGTTCCTGCCTCGAGTTTGAGTTTTGACTTCTACAGTAAGTTAGCGCTGCATGTACCTCTGGTGTAAACTCAAAGCACCCATAAAGAAACTCAACACAGAGGATCCCCGCTGCCTGCTAGTATTTCGGAAGTTTTGTCATTTTTTTAGAGCAACACAAACAGAATGCAGAAGTATAAATGCTCAACTATGGGGATCACCTCAGAAGTATTAACCAGGCTTTAAGTATTAGAAGCACAGGCGAGACGTTAGTTCGGAGGCTATCATCCAGTGACAATTATTTCAAACTTTCGCTCCTGATTCCTTGCTTTTCTAGAGACAGGAGTGCCTTAAAACAAGTGCCTATCTGCTAACATGCTCATGCAGGGCCTATGCTGGGATTTAGTGGGCACAGGGAGCTACAGTCAGTCCACACCAACATCTACATTACATTTACATTTAGTCATTTAGCAGATGCTTTTATCCAAAGCGACTTACAAATGAGGACAAGGAAGCAATTTACACAACCAAGAGCAACAATGAATAAGTGCTATAAGCAAGTTTCAGGTCTGGAAAGTCTAAGAAGGGAAGTATTAGTAGTATTAGTATATTTTTATTTTTATTTTTTATTTTTTGTACAATTAGTGTGATATTCAGAGAGGCAATTACAGATTAGGAAGTGTAGTGGAGACTAAATAGTTGAGTTTTTAGTCGTTTCTTGAAAGTAGCGAGTGACTCTGCTGTTCTGATGCAGTTAGGGAGTTCATTCCACCAACTGGGCAACCAAACCTAAACAGGTTCACTGTGAGCTAGCCCAGGTATGACTCACAGCTGTGGGCTCACTATGGGCTCGGTGTGAGTAGCCCTGTTACATTTCACGTATGTTTTGTGGTGTTTTGTTGTTTGTTTTCTGTTTTGTGCTCTTCTCTCTCTTGCTGTGGATCCTGTCCTGTTTCAGATGTGCAACCATTGGTCGAGTAAGCTGTCAATCACCATCGTCACTCAATCGGCACGCCAATAAGGATTGGGTCTGCGCAGTATAAAAGCTGTGCGCTTGCGCTGTTCTGGAGGAACGCTTGTATAACGTAGGCCAGGTAGTAGGTGCTGTGCAGGTGAAGCTCACTCCTCTAACCTCTAAAGGTACTCTAGCGACAGACACTATAGGCCATGGTCTTTAGCCTCATTGGTAGAGCACTCAACTCCCATGCGGAAGGTCGCCGGTTCAATCCCAGCTCGGAGCGGGTTGGATGATGTAGGACCGGCAGGGTTACACTTGGCTCACAGCCGGTCTCCTCACTTGTGTCGGCCGGCCTGTTCACTTGTGCTTGGTTTGATTGCGATTGCTGTATTCTAGTAATCTCTTTACTGAGAGATTAATTTATTAGAGAAACTTGTGCAGCTCAGTTTATTGTCTTGTGAGAGCGATTTTTATGAGAATTGGATTACCTGAGATCTTGTTTTGCTAATGGCTAACAGTGTGTAGAATTCTAGTAATGTGAGCAGCTTAGTATAATTATTTGTTAGTTAGTAAATGGAGGTGTTGCCACATGTGTAATTATGTTTGGGAGTTATGAAGTTTAGTTAAGCTTTGTGCTGAAGATTACGGTTTTGTTTCTGCATTTTTCTTTGATCAGTCAGTTTAGTGGGTTGGGGTTTAGTTAGATCGTCTTGTTATATTTATTTATTTGTTTTGGCAACCTTCCTGTTTTCTTTATTTAATTCAATTATTTAAAATTACATTTACATTACATTTTCTATTCATTGTTTGACATTATCTGTTAATAAATACTTACTTTTTGTTTCACTTATCAAGCGGCTGTGTCTTCTCCTCATTCATCCAGCATTAGTAGACTCACTGATTGTTACATTTCATCCGTTTAATTACCTAACATCTTAAACACGTAACAAGCCCACATTAGCGAACAGCCCACATTTATGCTATTGTCACGGTCGGTGAGGGGAAAAAGGAGCGAGGACTCAAGTGCAAAGAAACAATGGGTATTTATTAATAATAAAAATAAAAATAAAAGGCAAAACAAAACTACCCCGAGGGGGAAAACATTAACAAAACACACAAACTTGGCTGGGCTGACAAGACAAGGCAAGACTGGAGCAGGAACACGGGGAGTGTAGACAACGAACTGGCAAAGGACTGAAAACATGAGGGGGATTATAAAGCAAAAAGTAAATTGACACACAGGTGAACATGACAAACTAATAATGAGTAAACAAGGAGGGTGGGACTAGACAATAGACGGGAGAGCGCATGACACAGAGAGACAACACAAGCCATGCGCTCACATAACACAGGACAAGAACATGCAGCCAATGAGAGAACTCATTAACCGCATGTTCATGACAACACAAGCACAACACTGAAGCACACGACAAAAGCACGTGACCCCAATGTAAACACAGAGCCACGTACTTTGACAACAGATGCAAGACACGAGCACACGATGAATGAAAACACTCATCGTGCGCTCACACACGCAGCGTGCATGCTTCATCTCAGCGCCGACCAAAACCGAAACCAGCAAGACCAACCAACCACGCTGCAAAACACGAGTACAAGAGCGCACGCGTCCGAGGGACGCAGAACGCGCGCGCGGCCGCATCAAGCAGGAGCGCGTACACTCTGCGTACACCCACGACGACGGCGCGCGCGCACACAGAGACAGAAACAGGACCAGACCTGGGTAGTGTCCGAGCTCTGCCACCAAAACAAGAATTTACAAGGACCAGAGTGGCAGAACCCTGACAGCTATGAAGGCCACGTTTGGGCTTGCCCATTCAGGCCCAGAGCTGGCTGCCAGCTCAAGGTCTTTGGGAGTTTTTTCAACAGCAAAACATTGGCCCTCACGAGGCCAACGAGGCCTAAGAACTCCCTCATCCTCCATAGACCGTGATGATCCAGAGACATTTAAAGTACACAAAAGGAATGAAAACATAATCAAATGTCACTCCTAATCATTTGAAGCTCCAGGAACACTTTTGTGTGCCAAAATAAAGTAAAAGCATCTTTGTTCACCAATGTCTTCCATGTCAGATCAGGGAGTCTGTTTGTGTGTTCAGTGCTGCCTCTAGTGGCAATACGTGATACTTAATAAACATGTGCACAAAGCATTTACATGTTCTTTTAGTGTCTGTGAATGTGACAGTAGGATGTATTCTGGCTGATTACACACTGTAGCTTGTGTTATCTAGGACAACATGTTGAACTGTATGATCGTTACTTACAATGAGAGATCCCCAGAAAGAAACACCAGTGTTGATGAAGAAAAATGGTTCATAACCTATAAACAGGATTCCAAACAGGAAGGTCAACACACCGATCATTATCTGGACAGTCTGTGAGAAATAAGAGAGAACAGTGTAAGAAGGATGAGAGTATTTCATGAAGTAAAGCAGAATAACATGCTGTGTGTTAATGTGTGTTATCTGGGTTTAAGGGAGATTTCTCACCCCGAGGGCTTTTGGTTGGCCTCTCAGAAAAAGATGAGTTCTTTGAAGAGGTGAAACTCCTGCAACATGCTGTATGCGCACAGGCACAGAAGAACTGGTCACAGTTGCTGTTTGTGTCAGTGGCTGAAGCTGGATGACAATCGTTGAAGGATTCATGGCTCCGACAGTCGACATTTCAGTTTCAGAGTATCAAATGAACCTGTACAAAATCATAATAAAGTGAAAGAGGATACTATTATCAATAAAATATAGATAAATATTATAACTACATTTGTATAAATATTATTTGAACATGTGGGCAAAAACATCAGATTCAGACCACATTGACCTGCAGTGTGAACGTAGTCTAAAGTCACTGTGTTAAACTGTAGAGTTGAATTTTCAACATCAAAAGTGGTCAGAGCAGAGATCAACATCCCATAATGCAATTCACCACCAGAAATCAACAAAAACACACAAATTACAGAAACTTTTTTAATGAACAGAGGTGTAATGATCACGAGTGTTTAAACAATGGAAAAATCACAGCTCAAGTTTAAAATGATCAACATCACCTACATTTTAAAAGCCTTTCAAGGTCCACTTGTTACCAAATAAAGGAAACACATCCATTATTATTACTTTAGAAAACACAGATATAATAAGTATATTTCAGTATGTAGCGTACTGTCTTACCTGAAGCAGAATCCCGTCTTCAACTGTGCTTTGACTTTCTCTTCTGCTGTAACTTTACACCAGCGCAGTGATTCCCAGAAAGAGACAGGAAGCAGGAGGAGTTTTCTGCAGAATGGCCGCAGGTAAAGAGCCTCTCCCTCAAGCTCTCGGTTCGTTTTTTCCATCTAGATATTTGCTAATTGGGCTTCCAACGTTCCGTGCCCGATATGAGCCCTGGATAGCATTGTACCCTCACAGGACTACAGTGAGTTTAATAGCAGCAGTCATTACATTATCAGATGGGAAATGTGGATGGTAATATACAAGTTATACAGTTTCAGTTAACTGATTAACATAAAGACCTGTTGCTCACTCTTGTCACTGAAGACAGTCCAAGCCCAGTCCAATCATGTGAAAACATAATGGGCATGACCATCCTATGACCTCAATCAAGATTGACCAATAGAATAAAGTCTTTTATCCCGGAGGGAAGATACCGCCCACTGAGCTTCAGAGTTTTCAACTCGCAAAGATTTTAGATCCGCAAAAAATGATAGAACAGAAAGCAAAATGAACTAGCGCACGATGAAAAATCTGCTGTTAACTGCATGAAATGGCAATAGTTCATTTTTGCAGTGCTATTTTTTTATCAATGACATTTGTTTTAATTATTATTTTTACTTTTATTTTTTTTTATTACAATGTACCTAATTTTGGTCAAAAACTTCATGTTTGTTTGAATAAAGACACAAAACATTTCATGAACAAAACATTAAATCCAATCACATGGCATTTAGGCATGTAGACATGCCCACATAGCAAAATTTCTCTGGCCCAGCTCTGGCCCACACAATCAGGTTTTGCTTGGCCCACATGCCGCAGTGAATTACGGTACATGACTGGACCAAATCTGGCTTCCAGACAAGGGCCAAACACAGACCATATCTGGGCCAAGTCTCAGCCAAGTTAATAACTCATAACTGGGCCTGAACTGGGCCAGATAGGTTGGTGTGTCACGATTGCAATGAAAGTGATAAACCCATTGAGTGATGCGCTTTAGGGACACTATGGCACGCTTTTTCTCAAAGTGACCTGATTGGTAGAATTTTTTTTCTTTACTCAAAAATGATTTTAGTGTATTTTAAATGTGGGTCAAGACTGGCCAAACTCACATGGCCCGCTTATCACATGTTTAAATCTGGGCCAAATACTACGTTTTCCATCTGGTCCAAATCTTGTGTGCCGCCTTAAAGACTGTGCCACCTCTACCAAACCCGGGCCATGTTTGGCCACATGCTGTATGCCAGTGCCGGATGAATGCCTGCTGTGCCAGCTTTATGCCAAATCTGGGCCAGAATTCTTTGCTACTAGGGTGGTCAAGAGGATCTGCTGCAGGTCAAAGCAAGCATCAGAATGGGGAGGAAAGGGGATTTAATGGCCTGTTTCCAATGAGTGGTATGCTACGGTTTGGTTTGGTACGCTTTTATGGCCGTTTCCACTGTCAAAAGGGGTACCGAACCAAACTGTACTGTACCACTTTTTCGGGACCCTTTCGAAAGGGTCCCAAACACAGGAAAGGGTACCAAAAGGCGGAGCTAGACGCGCAGCTGAACGATATTGGTTTACAGAAGAGATACGTCATTCACTTACAACAAGCCAGAATGTAAACAAAGGACCCGCCATGTTGGAAATACACGCAAGCGGTTTCGCTTTCTTCCTTGCGCTTGCCGCGCATCTATATCTGAAATAACAAACTTCTTGAGCTGACAATAATAATGTGTGCTTGATTATTGACGTGCTTTGGAAACCCGATCCCGTGAGAAGATGACAAACGCGAAAATGACATATATACTTTGTGTTGTTTTGAACCTAATTAAGAACAACATGTCTGCTGTGTGTAGTTTTTCTGTAGCTGGTTACATATCGGAGACAGTAAGTGTCTGTATGTGTTCATATATGTTCATTTATTTATTTATTTTATACAATTACAGACGTTACAGTAGGCTATTTCACACGGTCATTGATCTGCAGTTACAATCAACTCCTGTTTATAGAAAAGTTAGTGATGAACATTTATACAGAAGTATTTGTGTGTGTAAAGCATCTGTTTTGTGAGAAGTGCTTTTCAGATGATATGTGAGCGACCTGTGCAGCTTTATTGTAGACATTTCCTCGAGCGAAAATGATGCGACTGAAACTTTCTGTCATACACCACACCCACCAAAAGGGTACCCTTTATAGTGGAAACGCAAGCCTGATAAAGGTGACCCGTACCAACTCGAACCGTACCGTACTGTACCAGTCAGTGGAAACAAGGCATAGGTGACTTTGACTGTGGCATGATTGTTGGTGCCAAACAAGCTAGTCTGAGTATTTCAGAAATTGCTGATCTACTGGGATTTTCACGCACAACCATATCTTGGGTTTACAGAGAATGCTCCGACAAAGAGGAAATATCTAGTGAGCGGCAGTTCTGTGGGCGCAAATGCTTTGTTGATGCCAGAAGTCAGAGGAGAATGGCCAGACTGGTTCCAGCTGATAGAAAGGCAGGAAGGGTAGGATTTTCTTAGGATTTCTTAGGTTTTTAGGATTAAGTGATTATCAGTGTGGTTTTTCAGTTTTTTTTTTTTCAAATTTATCAGTATTTACAAACAAACAACATTTAAAAAATACACATAGATAGTAGCAAAACTACACATGTAAAATACACAGTGATATGTTGATGACTGATAATTTTACACATAATCTGATGATGTGATTTATTCAGATCAGATACACAAGGGAACTAGAATCGTCACAGCATCAAAGCAGCAGAACCAATATGCTGCCCTGTTTTTCATGTTGATTCACATTTATTTGCTTCAGTGTACGCTGGGGGAGATTCTGCAGGAGGATGTTGAAAGCATGGTTCGGGGACTTCTTGAGGACATTGAATGTACTGTGGGGGCATTTCTGCAGGAGGGTGTTGAATTAAAGGGTTGCTGTTCACAGGAATCTGCAGGATAAAATGTACATGGTCAGCTTAAGTTATTGGTTAGTTTTCAACAATTATTGCTCCATTACCCAGTTCCTCACACGTTTACAGCACACATTAAATTTTTACTTCACAAATCAATAATTCACAAATTGTTGTAATGTGGTTTGTGTGTGAATACGGAACAGAGATAGGATGAATTAAACTAATTAATTCAGATTTCAGTTCTGTCTTTGGTCACCTAATCGGCTCCTACGTCAATATTTTCATGGCGCAGGAGATCGGTTACTGTCGCCTCAGTAGCCAATTGTCTTCGCAATCTTTAATCAAAATGGTGAAATTATTAAATAAGTCATCATATTTAAATAAAGTCTGCAGCAACTTCTGGTTCACATGGACTTTAAGGGTTTGGACATTTAAGATTAAAGAATTACAGACAGATATTGGGTTTGTTGGTTCTTGTGAAACCTCAGAACCTCAAGCCTTAAAAGTAGCTTTATCCTTTACTCCTAAATTTCTCTGATGGGTTCAGCTGATGTATTTCTCACCTTAGGTTTACAGCAAGAGGTGGCTTTACAGGCAAACACAGACAGGGAGATGGAGATGAACTCAAGGATGGCGAACACCAGCAACACACCACTGATTCCTGAGAGGAGAGTCTGAGAGAACATTCAACATGAGCATAAAGGATAACGATAACAAGAGAAGTCAAGAGTCTGTAGTCCTTTAGGTATACTGATGAAGCTAAGTGATGTTTAAAGGTGCCATAGATCGAAAATCTTGACATACATTTTCAGTACATGCAAATGCCATACCTTTGAAAGATTGTGTTTATTTTAGTTCAGTTGCATTTACATTGATTAAACTCTGATGTGATATGATGAGGTGACCTGTGCCTCAACCCCCACAATCTGATAGGTGTGAACTAATTGACCCTTTACAATCTCAATAGGGAATACGCAAAACAACAGCTGAAATATCTGATAAGAGGGTCCTGCTGAGCCTCGTAAACACAGAATGGTTTGTTTGATGCTAGTATGTCTTACAGACAGTACTTTGGGTTAAGTTACTTGAAGACCGACAAGTCAACATCACTGCTGAGGAACTGCACTATTCTTTGTCTTCAATAAAGTCTTCTCCCCGTAAGAACTTTGGTCAGCTTACTTATTTTATGTATTAGAGCAGGGGTGGCCAACCCTGTTCCTGCAGATTTCAGTTGTAACTCATATCAAACACACCTGCCTGTAATTATCACGTGGTGTTCAGGTCCTAATTAATTGGTTCAGGTGTGTTTGATATGGGTTGCAACTGAAATCTGCAGGAAGGTGGCTCTCCAGGAACAGGGTTGGCCACCTCTATATTAGAGTCATCTAATACATTAGCGAGCCACCCAAGAACGGTTAAGCCAAATCTAACACCTTGAACCTCCAACACCCTTGTTTCCTCATTGTCATGTAAATCATGTGAGTGTGAAACTAAAACTCTAACTCATTTCCCATTTCCCCAACATTTACTAGAGTGATTACATACGAGTAAACGGCTTTTTGTCTCGTTTTACGCTTGAGCAACTAAATAAATGCTTAAGTTTATTTAATTGAATATATTTTAATGACATCACAACATCGATGCTGTATAAGGAACCATATAAAATGGGAAAAAGTTCACAATAACAGCTCACCGGAAGTGTATCAGCATGGGAACTGCACTAGCTCTGCATATACCCCATTTCTTTGGTTGTAAATATCCCTATACATTCATTTATGAAGAAATTTTGACCTTGTATATATCAGAGAACATTTTAAACAATGTGTCAACACATTCTGTGGCCACTTTAATTTCAATATGTGTATCCAGTGTAAATGAACAGTAATATCGTGTCAGGTTCTGGACAGCATTGGACAGATGAGTGCAGATTACGCTTGATTTTCACAAGTGATCTTACTGTAATTATAAAATAAAGTGTACACAGAAATATATATCAATGTAAGAGTTGATGACTTACCCTTTCACTAAAATAATAATCAGGGTGTCCACAGAAACCGAAGACGGGCGCAAAAGCCAAATTTACTGAAATCACAATAATGGAAATGCCCGCAGCTATAGCACTGAAAATGTTCATCCCGAGGGAAGCTCTCACCTACAGTAGACACACAGAAATAGAAAGGTTTTGTATCATGTTGTGTTAACACACTGTGGTTAAGCAGATGATAGATTATATGGAAAGTGATCTAAATGAATTGACAAATGAATACAATACAGGATCTAAGCACCAGAGACTCGTGTATGAGTAAGTGACTACATGGAAAGTCTCTCTGTAGAAAGTCTTATCACTGAACATTTGCTTGTAAATGTGATGAGTTATGATCAACACTGTTTCAGCTCCCGCATCAGGTTTATAATACACCACAACTCCACACAGGAGATTAGTGTTGGACAGCACTCTTATCACAATGTTTGCTCATTTAGTCCAGGATATGCTTTATTTTCCGTCTTAGTTAAATGCTGTTATTGAAGCAGTGGTGTGTGTGTTTTAGGTGTGACCACTGCGGGGCGCTGTTGTTATAGATATATACAGTTGCGGTATTTTCACCTGATGTGATTCAGATGTTAGACAGTTAATTAAAAAGCTTCTATGTGTTCAGAGAGAAAATAGTCCGAGTCTTTATAAAACCAATAATTTGAGACCAAATTTTACAAGCATCCAGTGTTTAGACTCTTGAAAAGTACAAGTGTTGTGTACATACCAAACATAAACCGGCTGGTGAAATAATATTGGTTTCAGCAGCAATGGAGAGCGAGCCTGCAGTAATGTACTGAGAACAGAGAGAAGAGCAAAACTTATGTTGGAATATATATATACAGATATACATGGTCAGAGGTGGGTAGCAACGAATTACATTTACATGAATAAAAATGTTGGATAACGTGTACTTTGAGTACATTTAAATAGGTGTACTTTTACTCTTACTCAAGTAAATTATTAGAGAAAAATCAGTACTCTGCTACATTTTTTGCCGTTCCTCCGTTACTGTCAAATGAAAATAAATATAATGAATATGTTTTGTTTACAAATATCACGAGGCGCCGCATTGGAATGGTTGTGCCGCGATACGTTGTTATAAAGACGCGTCTCATGCTTTTGGTTAGAGCACGTGCGCGCCTGTGTTGGAATGATGGCTGAAGTCGAGGGAGACGTGCGAGTTTATACTGCGGTCACGCCATGGCTATCTGCAGTTCCGAGAAAGACGGTCATGCTGTTGGGTTATGCCTAGTTCAGACTGCGTGATTTTAGCCCCGATTTTGGCTCGCCGACAGGTTTTGAGAAATCGCCGACAAATGCCTGAAATCACAGGCAAATCGCTGCTCGTGCACGTGAGTGACAATCACACAGTATGAACGATCAAAGACGCGATCTGAGAGATTCGCCAATGAGTCGCCGATGCCTGTGAGATATTTGGCGTGCTGATTATCTGGAGCTGTCGGCGATTCAAATCATGCCGTGTGAATTGAGTTTTGACTGAAAATAACATCAGCGATCGCCTACAGCCAATGAGAGAGCAGCTTTCACTTGTGTGTGCGTGTATGTGTACCTGCTGCAGGCCAGCGGGAGGCTGGGGGAGAAGTTAAAAGCGCTCTTTTTCGGTTTAATTGGACCAACAAAATGGAGGAAAAACCAGTGGAGGTTTGACAGGACTCAGGAGCAACCGTGTCTGTTTGACGTTTCATACAGAGAGAAATTAGTTTATTATCAACTTAAGTTGAGGAGAAATGGCGAATTCCCTTTAAACCTAGGTGAGCAAACATGTACATGTTCTCCCCCATTAAAGGCTTCTTTCTCATTATCTAGTTAATAACAAAAAACACACTACGTGTTTTTGGCTGTGAGACGTAGTTTGGACGAAGTTGTCGGCGATTCACCCTATAGTAAAGTCATGCAATCTGAAAGTCCCTGTCGCTGAACCATCTTGCAGTGTAAACAAAGCAGCGACGAAACGCCAGCCCAGATAGTCAAGCAGTGTGAAAACATCTGTGACACGACTAGTTGGAAAACCATGCAGTCTGAACTCGGCATTAGGGTTGGGGACAGTTTATCGGACCAGGTCACCCGGGCTAAAGTTCAGTCTGTTTTCACTCCAAGATGTCAACAGGAATAGTTTGATAATGCGATGCACACTGTACATTGAACTGACATCGCAGCATATACATGAATTCCAGCTCCAACCTGAAAACAGTAGCAGTAAGGATCCAAATTATACCAATTTGAATCTTAGCAATGGTAACTATGCAGGCCCATAGCCAGGGGGGTTCGGGTCGTTCAAAAGACCCACCCCTCAATGACAAAGGTTAATAATTTGTCCCATACATGAGCTCATTTTCCTTAATTTGACTGCTATGCCATCATAAATAGTGGAATTAATCTTTTAAAAAAAGGCTTAAGGCCAAGCAAAATCCTATATGAAAACTAATGTGAAAACTAATTTGGCTATTTTTGTAATCCATGAATTTCCAATCACAGTAAATGTGCTTTTTTTACAAGAGAGGCTAGAAAAATTGTGAAGCTCTTTTAGTATTATTATCCTGTTTTAACTTTTTATTATTCAAACAGCTAAATTCTGACTGAGGACAGCTGAATGTTCTGGCCGGTTTGTAGGCTAAGGCAGTTTTTAATTGAAAACTTCAACAGATTCCTATTTTTTTGTCATGATTTATGATGTAATAAATTTGTATTTTAAAATAAATAAATAAATATAATACAAATACAATAAATACAAACGAATAATTTTAAAAAATGTATTAAAATAAATTTGTGCATTTTTATTTATTTTAAATCTTTATGAAATAATTTGGTACATTAAATGTGTCATGATGACGATCTAACAAGCTAATCCAGCTAAAAATAGTGATTGAAATGTCACTAAAATACAGTATTTAAATATCATACATTGTAAATGAGGTGAATAAGTGCAAAAAGGTCCACATTTTGAAAAAATAAAAATAAAACTATGCTATGGGATAACCAAGTAGCTGTTTAATGGAATAACTGATTATCCCTGTACATATTAGTAATTTAGGTTGTTAATCATTAAACATATTACATTTAAGTGTTATTTTTAACATAAGATGGTATATATATAAAGCAAAAGTAAATAGTTACTATTTACTTAAGTATTTTTTTCATTGGGTATTTTAAGATTGTTACTTTTACTTGAGTATATATTTTGGAGACTCTACCCACCTCTGTATATGGTACTCAACCAGAATATGAATTTCACTGCCACATTGCCACACTGGTAGACAAGGATGTTTCTCTTTCCACAGTTTTATTCAAAACAATGTCACTAATTAAAGTGGGGAATCAAAGGGATGATATTAAAGCTGTAGCGATCTTCTTTAACAGCACAGTCAATGTAAACATCTGATGTTATTCATCTCACTGATAGTTCGCTCGAAGGAACATCAGCTGGTGAGTGTACAGACACACCGTTCATCTAGTAGATGGCAGATCTTCTGGCAAACACTATGCAAGTGTAAGCATTCTCCTTGATCAGTGTGGAGGATCAAAAATAATTAATAATTTAATAAACATGTGCACAAAGCATTTACATGTTCTTTTAGTGTCTGTGAATGTGACAGTAAGATGTATTCTGCTTGATTACCCACTGTAGCTTGTGTTATCTAGGACAACATGTTAAACTGTATGATTGTTTCTTACTATCAGAGATGCCCAGTAAGAAACACCAGTGTTGATGAAGAAAAACATTTCATAACCTATAGACGCGATTCCAAACAACAAGGTCAACACACCGATCATTATCTGCACAGTCTGTGAGGAATAAGAGAGAACAGTGTAAGAAGAACAAGAGTATTTCATGAAGTAAAGCAGAATAACATGCTGTGTGTTAATGTGTGTTATCTGGGTTTAAGGGAGATTTCTCACCCCGAGGGCTTTCGGTTGGCCTCTCAGAAAGGCCTGAATTCCTTGAAGAGGTGAAACTCCTGCTACACGCTGTATGCGCACAGGCACAGAAGAACTGGTCACAGTTGCTGTTTGTGTCAGTGGCTGAAGCTGGATGACAATCGTTGAAGGATTCATAGCTCCGACAGTCGCCATTTCAGTTTCAGAGTATCAAATGAACCTGTACAAAATCAAAATAAAGCAAAAGAGGATACCATTATCAGGACAATATAGACACTGGTAAACCTTTTGTCTTCAGCTTATCTTTGACAGAATGTGTGTTTACGTCTGAAAACATGAGCTGCAGCTGACCACCTGAGGGCGCTGTAGTGCACCAGGACTCAGTAGGCACTACAGCGTCCGAGAAAGACTACAATTCCATACATACCATGCGCATTCACCGGAACATATACACTGACCTGTCATCACACCTGTTCTGTGTTACCGTTGATTATCTGGACTATATATTCCATTATTCCACCGTTGTTTATCATCGCGTCGTTGTCTACTTCGTCTTCTTGTTCCCAGTAAGTCTTTTTTCCAAGTTGTTGTTCCTGATCTTGCCTCGTATTTTGCCAAAGTCTAGTTCTTGTTTTGTTGTTTATTTGTTACTTTGCTTTTTGATATTTTGGATTTTTGTCACTGTTTTCTGCACTAAATATCTATTAAATCTGCACTTGAATCCGCAATCTTTTTTTGTTCCCGTTTTGTTGTTTTTGATCACGCTAACGTGACAGCAGCACTCCGGAATGGGTTTTTTATTTAAAGTGTATCCAGACACAGCTTTCACACCACATTGTTACGGTGCCAGGTCTATTTTTGTGGTGCTGCTTATGTTTAACTAAAGTGACAATGCATTGATCACCAAAAGCACTCTGAATGCCAGTAAAAAAGTAGCAATTTAACCAAGTATTTGCGCCGGTAATCCACTGATTTCTAAATATTTAATCAAATTAACTTAAAAATACAACAAAAATAATGTTTTTTTTAATAACTTGTGCTTTCTTCATAAGTTTGATTATATATAAATATTATTATAAATATATTTTTTGAACAATCTCTCTCTGTTAAACAGAAATTGGGGGAAAAATAAACAGGGGGGACAAATAAATCTGACTTCAACTGTGTATGTGTATATATATATATATATATATATATATATATATATATATAGGGGCATATACTCATGTATGGATGTCAACAAATGTATATTATATAATGTAGGATATGAATCTTGAAAACAATACATTGAATAGGAAACATGTACAAACAATTCCAGACTTATTATACATTTACACAGTGCATGAGTCAAATGAAGCCTGTTGCCCTCCCTTAAAATATTCATCCATGTACGTGCAGAAATACTAAAGATCCAGGTTTCCTCTCATCAAATATATATTACATTGCATATTTAATATACATTTACATATTATACATGTATTTAAACATTTGTTATTATTTACGTTAGCTCCCTTATATCTCTTAACAGTTTAAAACTAAGAGCAAACGCTATGATAAAGGTACATTTCGCATAGCCTTTCCTAAACCATGCTAACGTATGGATCATCACCCACATTCGTAATTAAAAAAATGCTAATTTTGTGGTAAAACTTGTGTCTCTAAAGGACTGTGACATTATAGTTTGATCGTCATCTGCGCTTATGTTAGTCTGTTTTTCTTATTCCCAAGGTTTCCATAATCCTGGACCAGGCCCTATCCTGAGCAGATGCTGTGGTGGTCATGGAGACTGTTGAAATGTACAAACCAAATAAAAAATGATGTACAGCTGCCAAAAATTCAGCATCTTGCTCAGATAAAAAGTTCTTACTCACAAACACATCATAAACCCTCCCCAAGCCTTAATGTTAGTGCAGATCATCAAAAAGTGGGTCAAACTAGTTTTTGCACCTTACACTTGCTGTGAATGTAAAGGTAGAGAGGGATTCGTTAGCACATGTGTTTGTCTGTGGGGGAAACTGGAGCACCTGGAGGAAACAAACGCCAATACGGAGAGAATATGCAAACTCCACACAAAAACACCACCTGACCAAGCCAGGACTCAAACCAGCAACCTTGCTGTGAGTCGACAGTACTACTGAGCCACCTCAAAGCACAAACTAGTACAGAATAATAACGTGTGTCGATCAAAGAGGATGTAAAAGTCACACTAATTCTTACATACCTGTTCACACAAAACACCAGACTTGTATCAGATTTAACACCACGTATGAAAGTGGCACAAATCAGAATTGAAAAGATCAGATGCCATGCGGTTTGGGCTGTTCACACTGCCATGACCAAAACAGATCTGAGTCACATGTGGGCAAAAACATCAGATTCAGACCACATTGACCTGCAGTGTGAACGTAGTCTAAAGTCACTGTGTTAAACTGTAGAGTTGAATTTTCAACATCAAAAGTGGTCAGAGCAGAGATCAACATCCCATAATGCAATTCACCACCAGAAATCAACATAAAGCACACAAAATACAGAAACTTTTTTAATGAACAGAGGTGTAATGATCACGAGTGTTTAATCAATGGAAAAATCACAGCTCAAGTTTAAAATGATCAACATCACCTACATTTTAAAAGCCATTTAAGGTCCACTTGTTACCAAATAAAGGAAACACATCCATTATTATTACTTTAGTAAACACAGATATAATAAGTATTTTAGTATGTAACGTACTGTCTTACCTGAAGCAGAATCCCGTCTTCAACTGTGCTTTGACTTTCTCTTCTGCTGTAACTTTACACCAGCGCAGTGATTCCCAGAAAGAGACAGGAAGCAGGAGGAGTTTTCTGCAGAATGGCCGCAGGTAAAGAGCCTCTCCCTCAAGCTCTCGGCTTGTTTTTTTCCATCTATATATTTGCTCTTTATTGGGCTCCTAACGTTACGTGCCTGATATGAGCCTTGGATAGCATTGTATAATTAATAGGACTTATCTGTGAGGACCCAGACCTCTGTATATTGAATTATGCCTTTGTATATAATAAATTACTAATACTTTCACATTGGAGAAAATCTTCTCTCAACTTTTTATTAAACACAAATGGAATTTCAAGTGTATATATATATATATATATATATACACTTGAAATTCCATTTGTGTATATACATACACATACATACATACATACATACACACACATACACAAACATAGATATGTACTACTGTGTTGAACCCTCATTTGCTTTCAGACCTGTCATAATCCTTTGTGGCATATGTAACCTTTTTTTCCTTTTAGCTATGGACACCAGATTAAAAGAACCCGATAACATTGCCTGAGTTGAAAATATGACTCTTTATACAGTATACACACACACTACTACATCTTCTAACAGTGGAGAATATCTATGAATATGATGCTCCAGTTCAAAGAGACTCTTGAGTGCAAACTAAATGAAGATCAATGGGCTGCCGATAATAATGTATACCAGTCTGTTAGCAGAACTAGGCTGCGTCTGAAACTGCCTACTACTCAGTAGGTACTGCATTTAAATTTTAAACATACTACTCGGCCGTTAGAAAAGTATGTTCTATACCGTATGAATGTGAAAAGTACAAACGTACTACATCTGCCATTTTGTCAGGGTCACGTGACCTACCTGCTACAGACGATCTGCTGCAGTTTAAAGCGAGCATCAGAATGGGGAAAAAAGGGGATTTAAGTGACTTTGACTGTGGCATGGTTGTTGGTGCCAAACAAGCTGGTCTGAGTATTTCAGAAACTGCTGATCTACTGGGACTTTCACGCACAACCATCTCTTGGGTTTACAGAGAATGCTCCGACAAAGAGGAAATATCTAGTGAGCGGCAGTTCTGTGGGCGCAAATGCCTTGTTGATGCCAGAGGAGAATGGCCAGACTGGTTCCAGCTGCTAGAAAAGCAACAAGGGTAGGATTTAGATTTTCTTAGGACTTGTTAAGTTTTTAGGATTTAAAGCAGTGATTCTCAAAGTGTGGTATATGTACTGCTGGTGGTACACAGGCTTCTTCTAGTGGTATGCAGAGGAATCATAGAAATAAAAACAATGTTAAAAACACATTTAACCCTTTGTGTCCTGCAATCACACCAGTGTGATCACAATGTTCAGTTGCATCACGTGATCAGTTGCTAAACCCAAATCTGCTGTCCTCCAATTATTTGTGTTGCGCCAAAAAAAGACACAGGCAATGCTATTGATGAAACATCCAATTTATCAGTATACAAACAAATAACATTTAAAAAATACACATAGGTATTAGGAAAATTCACAAAAATACACATGTAACATGTAAAATACACAGTGATATCTATATTGATGACTATAATAAACATTTTACACATAATCTGATGATGTGCTTTATTCAAATCAGATAGACAAGGTATAAATGAATGTTCACAGCATCAAAGCAGCAAAATCATCACGCTGCCTCGTATTTTGATGTTGATTCACATTTATTTGCTTCAGTGTACGCTAGAGGAGCTTCTGCAGGAGGATGTTGAAAGCATGGTTCGGGGACTTCTTGAGGACATTGAATGTACTGTTGGGGGATTTCTGCAGGAGGGTGTTGAATTAAAGGATTGTTGACCACAGAAATCTGCAGGATAAAATGTACATGGTCAGCTTAAGTTATTGGTTATTGTTCAACAATTATTGCGCCAACAATTATTTGTGTGTGAACACAGAACAGATTGGATGAAATAAACAAAACAAAAAGAAAAACCTGTAATTGTTTGTTATCTGGTCTGCATCAAATCCAGATTTACAATGTTTGTTTTGCTAGCGCACATTGTTAGTCTTGAAGTGAACAATTCTGTCATGAAACTCTGTGTGTGCACTGGCTGATAGGCAGGGCTTAATTTGTGCCGCAACACGCCGGATCCGGAATCTCTGAAATCTGATCTGGCACCTCATTTTACCGATCCCCCTCCTAAACCACCCTTCTCCCATGTCTGCTTTTCACTTTTGGTTTCTTCCGCGACTCCTCAACTGCGACACTCCGCCCCGCTCACCACCCCTCTGCCATCCACCGAACCAATACTCCCCGGCTCCACACTTTCATGTGTGACACCTCTTCATCCTAAGGTAACATGACACAGGAGATCGGTTGCTGTCGCCTCAGTAGCCAATTGTCTTCGCAATCTTTAATCAAAATGGTGAAATTATTAAATAAGTCATCATAATTAAATAAAAGTCTGTAGCAACTTCTGGTTCACATGGACTTTAAGGGTATGAACATTTAAGAGTAAAGAATTACAGACAGATATTGGGTTTGTTGGTTCTTGTGAAACCTCAGAACCTCAAGCTTTAAAAGTAGCTTTATCCTTTATGCCTAAATTTATCTGATGGGTTCAGATGATGTATTTCTCACCTGAGGATAATAGCAGCAGGTGACTTTACAGGCAAACACAGACAGGGAGATGGAGATGCAGAACTCAAGGATGGCGAACACCAGCAACACACCACTGATTCCTGAGAGGAGAGTCTGAGAGAACATTCAACATGAGCATAAAGGATAACAACGACAACAAGAGAAGTCAAGAGTCTGTAGCCCTTTAGGTATACTGATGAAACTAAGTGATGTTTAAAGGTGCCAAAGAAAGAAAATCTGGACATACCTAGACGTACATTTTCAGTACATGCAAATGGCATACCTTCAACCTCAAACCCCCTTGATTCCTCATTGTCATGTAAATCATGTGAGTGTAAAACTAAAACACTGACTCTAGAATCCACTTGGATGCACACTCCATTTCCACAACACTTCCTAGAGACATTACAACCATTAAAGAATCCTTTTGTCTATATACTCAGTCAAATCAGACTTTTCCATTCAAGAGCCGATTTCTTTGGTTGTAAATTAATCTTTAAAATTTTTATGGAGCAATGTTGGACGTACCTAAGCCCCATATACATGTAAATATTAGTGATCAATTTAAACAGTGTATCAGTGCATTCTGTGGCACCTTTAATTACAATATTTGTTTACGCTTGATTTTCACAAGTGCACCGGTCACACAGTGATCTTACTGTAATTATAAAATAAAACAATACAAAAATGATATCAATTTAAGAGTTGATGACTTACCAAATGAATATAACAATAAGTATCTGTGCAGTAACTGCGGGTGGGTCCAAAAGCCAAACTCAGTGAAAGCACAATAATGGAAATGCCCGCAGCTATAGCACTGAAAATGTTCATCCCGAGGGAAGCTCTCACCTACAGTAGACACACAGAAATAGAAAGGTTTTGTAGCATGTTGTGTTAACACACTGTGGTTAAGCAGATGATAGATTATATGGAAAGTGATCTAAATGAATTGACAAATGAATACAATACAGGATCTAAGCACCAAAGACTCGTGTGTATGAGTAAAGGCCGGCTCACACAGTGGGATTGTTTATAATCCTGAACGATTGTAGCATGTCAGACTGCACGAACATGGCGCTCATGTCACACTGTAAGATCTCAGCTGTCATAAAGTCAGACTGAACGACAATGAAGACGCGCCAAACACGAAAGAAAACACCCCCGGAGTTTGACATCATCCACCCGTGACACTTTCACTATCTCACATTCTGAAATGATTCCTCACAGATCTGATTGCAATAAACACGAAGTGTCTGTCTGTGAACATGTCAAACCAACGATCACAGATTTTAGCCTGGGATTTCAGGAATCTTTTAGGATTTCACAAATTTGTCTCAGATGTCAAAATCGTAGCTGAAATCTCACAGTGTGAGCAGGGCTTTAGTGATTACATGGAAAGTCTGTGTTCAATACTCTATTAGCACAGAAAAAAATAAGATTTATGCACAAATCCTTACACACCAAATTTTACAAGCACCCAGTGTTTAGACCCATGAAAAGATCAAGTGTTGTGTACATACCAAACATAAACCGGCTGGTGAAAAAATTTTGTTTTCAGCAGCAATGGAGAGCGAGCCTGCAATAATGTACTGAGAACAGAGAGAAGAGCAACACTTAAAGCTTATGTTGGAAAATATATATATATACAGATATACATGATACTCAACCAGAATGAACAGTTTACTGTCACATGAACCAGACACTAGTCCTGTCTTGTCTTGTATGTTGTGTATGAGCACCATCTTGGTGTGTGTTTTGTGTGCGGTGTGGTGTTTTCCATCTCAGAGCTCAGTCTAGCACTAGTTAACCCATTGTTAGTTTAGTATTTTCACCTGTTTGTTTGCCAATTATTTCTCCTTTATAGTCTCCTCATGTCTGCTGTCCTGTGCCAGTTTATTGTCCTACATATGTCGTTTTTCCTAAGAGTCATGTCATGTCCTGTTCCTTTCCAGTCTAGTTTGTTCCTCCTCTGGGTTGTACTTGTTGCCCTTTTTGTTTTGTTTAGTTTTTTTTAATAGTTAATAAATACCCATTATTGACTGCACTTGAGTCCTTGTCCTTTCCCAACCTCAACCATGACAAGACCAAGGCAAAACATAAGAGAGTAAAAATATACATTAAAAAAAAACAGCAGGACCAAATCCTATTCAAATATTCATCCATTCTGGCAGGATATACACAATGCCCTTTTTACTTTCATATAGGCTCATATGTAGTTTACCCCATCTGTATAAGTTGTGTGGAAATTGTTGATGCTCATATGGACTTGTCTTGAATTGTGTGAAAGTAATTTACAAGCTGAGAACAGCAGCTCATGAGTTCTCGATCGGCCCACAGCTACAGTCACTGTGTGAGTAGCTTACACTAGCGATCAGCCCACGTTAAACCCATTAAGGCCACATTTGGGCTCGGGCCCAGAGCAGGCTGCCAGTGCTAGGCCTTTGAGAGTCTGTTAAACGGCAAAACGTTGGCCCTCACTAGGCCCACACCTGCCCTGGATGGGCAGGACCCACTTTGACCTAAAAGCTCGATCATCCTCCATAAAAAGTGATGATCCAGAGACAATTAAAGTTCAGAAAAGCAACAAAAACATCATCAAATGTCACTTCAGTGGTTCATCTGTAATCAGATGAAGCTCCAGGAACACTTTTGTGTGCAAAATAAAGTAAAAGCATCTTTGTTCACCAATGTCCTCCATATCAGATCAGGGAGTCTGTTTGTGTGTTCAGTGCTGCCTCTAGTGGCAATACGAGATACTTAATAAACGTGCACAAAGCATTTACATTGGGGTTGGGCATCTAAGTTATAATGCCAATCCGATACGCATCTCGATACAAAGAATACGATCCGATATATTAGCGATACATTTGTGACATATTGCGATGCGATTCACCCCCATATCACGATACAATGCGATAATTCAGCACTAACTTATTAGATCAAGTTTCTGAGATGATGTGAAAGAGGATGCTGTGCCATTGAATGAGTTTGATTATTTATTAACCAAGCAAAACCAAGACTTTTTTTTACAAACTTTTCTCTCAGAGCCAGAGAGTCAGTTTACAGTAGAGGGCCATTTTAGAACCTATAGCACATATTATTTAAGTATTTTCAAGATAAACAGAATGTATAAGTGCAATATATATTATAAATGTATATATTTGCACTCTTTCAACATAAAGGATTAGCATTGCACAACAAGAATTGTGATTTAACTTTTCAACTATGAAAACAAGTTTTACAAAGATATATTTTGCCACTGAATATTCAAAACTTAAGGTGGTGAACTAGCAGTGTTATGCTGCTTTCAAACATCACTGTCACTGTAAACAACAGGCTAATAAAAATATAATTAAATACAAATTAACAGGAGGAGGTGTTTAAAACCTTCGTTTTCCGTGATACTAGGCTGAATATCTTTGCAGATGAACAATGCAATAGCATCCGTTATTGGCGTAGAGCGAGCAGAACTGTTGCGCATGGAAAAAAAACTTGCAATGCTTTTCTCACCACTTTTGGAGCTGGTAGCTACAGTTGAAGCAGAGCAGGAAGCCGGGGATGCAGGAACACTGTCAGATGCTTCCACAACAACACCGTGGCTCCGCTTCAAGTGAGATTTCAGATTAGTCGTACTGCCCGCGTATTTACAGATGCGTGGCACATTTTGCAAATTGCATCTGTCCTGTCAAGTCGTCCATCCTTTTTGCAGAATCCATAATGTTGCCATACTTTAGATTTAAAACTCAGTGGGGAATAAAATGTTTGTTTTGCTTCTCGCGCTTTCTGAGGGCGCACCACTAGCTTCATCCGCACACCTTATACACTGAGTTGTAGTGTAAGTGTACACATCCACAAGTCCGTTGCTAAGGCATACTTTATGTAGGTCGATTCAATTATGCGCCAAAAACAGGTTGACAACACTTGCTAATAAATAAAAAATACATTCTATATTAAAAATATACGTTGTATCTTGGAAAAAACGATGCATCTCGCAAAAACCGATGCATCTCGATTTGCTTCCAAAATTTCATTCATCCTCTGCTGCTCTACCGGTGCACTCGCATCGTGCACGCGCATGACCGCGTATCGATACATATCGGTTAATCTTCCCATCCCTAATTTACATGTTCTTTTAGTGTCTGTAAATGTGACAGTAAGATGTATTCTGGTTGATTACCCACTGTAGCTTGTGTTATCTAGGACAACATGTTGAACTGTATGATTGTTTCTTACTATCAGAGATGCCCAGTAAGGAACACCAGTGTAGAAGATGGCTGTAGACGCGATTCCCAACAGGAGAATCCACAGACCGATCAGTATCTGGACAGTCTGTGAGGAATGTACAGTGTAAGGATGAGAGTATTTCATGAAGTAAAGCAGAGTATCATGCTGTGTGTTAATGTGTGTAATCTGGGTTTAAGGGAGATTTCTCACCCCGAGGGCTTTTGGTTGGCCTTTAAGAAAGGCCTGATTTCCTTGAAGAGGTGAAACTCCTGCTACATGCTGTATTTGAACAGGCACAGAAGAACTGGTCCCAGTTGCTGTTTGTGTCAGTGGCTGAAGCTGGATGACAATCGTTGAAGGATTCATGGCTCCGACAGTCGACATTTCAGTTTCAGAGTATCAAATGAACCTGTACAAAATCAAAATAAAGCAAAACAGGATACCATTTGAAATAAGATACACTTTATATATTTTTTTTAAACTTTCTGTATATAGTTTAAAACTCCAGAAACTGTTCATTAACAGACGTGTTTCACAGTGTAAAACCAGTGCAACATCTGCAGTTCAAGTGTGTATTGTAGACGCTGCTAATGTGTAGTCCCTTGTTATTTAGCGTAATTTATGAGGTGTAATGGTCACATATGTAAACAATGGAAAAAACACAGCTTAAGTTTAAAATGATCAACATCACCTACATTTAAAAAAGCCAAACAAGGTCCACTTGTTACCAAGTAAAGGAAACACATCCATTATTACTTTAGAAAACTCCAATAAAATAAGTACTTTCAATTATGTAAGGTATTGTCTTACCAGAAGCAGAATCCCGTCTTCAGCTGTGCTTTCAGACTTCTGATATAAAGCCACACAAGCACAGTGTTTCCAGAAAGAAACAGGAAGCAGGAGGAGTTGTGCAATCACAATGCATGGCAAAGCTGGCCGACCCCAGGGGTTAATACAGCAAAACAATCTGATATATGCCAATATATGCAAATAGTGTATATTTGGATTTTACGTATAGTCATTAGAGAAATCATAAGGTCTTATTCTTTTTCAGATACGTCTTGAATTTGCATTTATATTTTTTATTAAGGATTTTTTTAAATTATTTTATTACTTGTCACTTTCACGTTTTATTGAATATATGTATTGCCTAGTGATAGCTTAACCGAACTTCTTCTCCAAGTGTGATAGGCTAATCAAGCATGCAGACGGAGATGCAGCGACAGCAAAAATAACTTTCACTTCATGCTTACGGCTTCCAGAAAGAGGAAGTATGTGTGCTGCAGAGGAGCCAGCAGGAAAAGAGCCCCTCCCTCAAGCTCTGATTTCGTTTTTCTATCTATTTATTGGGGGTTTTTTTGGGCTCAGAGCGTTCTGTGCCTGATATGAGCTCTGTATATCGAAGCCTAGTCATGACGTAGTCATATCCTATCTTGTGATTTATATGTAGATGTTTGATTAGGTTTGTTGTTTTACCACAGTACGTCACTGTTATGTTACACGCGTCACACTCTGCATTATTTGAGTTCATGGAAGTGAAGTAGCTCCACACAATACTTCGCTTGCGGAGTTATCCAATAACAGTGAACTGAGTGTCTAGCTAGCGTGCTCTGCAGTTGTACAGTGCCATATTACGCACATGACTTTGCAGGCGGAAGAACAAGTAGTTCCGACTAAGTTGGCATTATAAATTAGGGTAATTGTGTTTACTTTTCTGCTGTATTTCTATTTCCAATAAACTACAGAGTTGCTTCAAATTATCAATATTTTGATAAGATAATCAACTCTAGAACTTATAATTTTAGCATCAATCAGCACATTACTATTAACGAGGTGTAGGAGTCAAGCTAGATTCACGGTAGCAGGCTAGATTGACCATCGGGCCCCTGGGAACTGTCCTATTGATCCCTATGGCCAGTCAGCCTCTGGTTGGTGGTTCATTCCACTGTGCCGATCTCTGAAATAGGGAAATTGATGAAAGGTTTTGTCAGAAATCTGTAAGGGTTTTCTCTTTTTAATCTGACTGCAATGACAACTCTGAATACTTTTAAATGTCTTGTGTCTAATGTTTAAAGAGAGCTGTAACTTATTTTCATGATTTGATTATGATTCATGAATTGGGAAAATGGATGTGTAAACTGATGTCTTTGCTTGTTACTTTTATGTGTTGTAATCTTGACCAGGTCTCACTGTAAGAAGAGATAGTAAGAATTCAATGTGATTTCGTGGCTAAATAAAAGAAGAATATTAAAATGAATTGGCAAATAATCCTTTTGTCTGACAGCTGCATTTACTTATTGTAAATCTTGTACAAGACACTATTCTCCATTGTCTGGCTCCTGTCTCGGATGTATTTTACTGGAAATATTGAACTGAGTACTGGTGAGTCATTGCATATTGCACAATAATGGAGTTATTCCCTGTACTGCCTCTGGCTTCAGACTCAGATTTAGGTGTTTTCACACTCATCAAACAGCCCTACATCATACTTGTTTGCCAACTACTTTAAAGGCATCTCTGCCTATTTTATGTTAGCCATCCAATAATTCTCCTCTGTGTTTCGGTCATGTCTAAATTCTGACTTAATGGCTCTAAAACAGGGATCACCAAACTTGTTCCTGGAGGGCTGGTGTCCAGCAGATTTTAGCTCCAATCCTTAAAAAACACACCTGAACAAGCTCATCAAGGTCTTACTAGGTATAGTTGAAACATCCAGGCAGGTGTGTTGAGGCAAGTTGGAGCTAAACCCTGCAGGGTAACACACCTCCAGGAACGAGATTGGTGACCCATACTCTAGAGTCACACTGCACTGTACCCCCACATCTACCTCACTTCAGTCTGTTACTCTAACATATTCTTTCTCAAATAACTTTACGTCTGACTATATCTAGTCTCTGGCCTTGCAGAAAGATAAGCGAGGCACACACTCTCCTGCTCACAGATGAAGTGAAACACACTGAAACAGAACACATACTTCCAGTCCCAAACATTTTGTCAAACTTTTAATTTCCTCTTGTCTCACTTTGAAAAGAGGATTTAAAATTTACCAGAAAGTCAGTAGTGATACCAGTGGTGTCCGTTTTTGCGTCCGGCGGTCAGCCCCTCATCCCTCAATCTAGTAAGGGTAGGGTTGTGATTTTCTTCTAGGTTTTTGAATGTATAGGATTTATAGCAGTGATTCCCAACATTTGGTATATGTTCCACTAGTGGCACACAGGCTTCTTCTAGAGCAGGTGTGGGCAAATTTGATCCTGGAGGAATTTTGCGTCCTACAATCACACCAGTGTGATCACAACGTTCAGTTGCATCACGTGATCAGTTGCTAAACCAAAATCTGCTTTCCTGCATTTACATGTGTTGAGCCAAAGAAAGACACAGACAATGCTATTGATAAAGCAAATCCAATTTATCAGTATGTAAACAAATAACAATTAGGTAGCAAATACATATAGGTAGTAGCAAAACAGACAAAAATACTCCTGAATAAATGTATCAATGAATCTTCACAGGATCAAAGCCCCGTTTTTACCTATCGATTCACATTAATTTGCCTTCAGTGTACGCTGGGGGAGCTTCTGCAGGAGGATGTTGAAAGTATGGTTCTGGGATTTCTTGAGGACATTGAATGTACTGTTGGGGGTTTTCTGCAGGAGGGCGTTGAATTAAAGGGTTGTTGACCACAGGAATCTGCAGGATAAAATGTACATGGTCAGCTTAAGTTATTGATTAGTTTTCAACAATTATTCCCCCATTACCCAGTTCCTCACACATTTACTGTACACATTAAAGGTTTTGTGGATTTTTACTTAACAAATCATTCATTCAATTGTTGTAATGTGGTTTGTGTGTGAACACAGAACAGAGATTGGAGGAATTAAACAAAACAAAAATAAAAACCTGTCATTGGTTTCTGTTTGGTCTGCATGAAATTCAGATTTACAATATTTATTTTGCTAGCGCACATTGTTAGTTTTGAAGTGAACAATTCTGTCATGAAACTCTGTGTGTGCACTGGCTGATAGGCAGGGCTTAATTTGTGCCGCAACACGTCGGATCTGGAACCTCTGAAATCTGATCTGGCACCTCATTTTACCGATCCCCCTCCTCAACCACCCTTCTCCCCCGTCCGCTGTTCACTTACGCTTTCTTCCGCGACTCCCCAACTCTCTTTGCTGTCGTCTGCAACACCCCCGCCCCACTCACCACCCCCCCGGCTCCCCACTTTCGTGCACGACACCTCTTCATCCTAAGGTAACATGACGCAGGAGATCGGTTGCTGTCGCCTCAACAGACAATTGTCTTCGCAATCTTTAATCAAAATGGTGAAATTATTAAATAAGTCATCATATTTAAATAAAAGTCTGCAGCAACTTCTGGTTCACATGGACTTTAAGGGTATGAACATTTAAGAGTAAAGAATTACAGACAGATATTGGGTTTGTTGGTTATTGTGAAACCTCAAGCTTTAAAAGTAGCTTTATCCTTTATGCCTAAATTTATCTGATGGGTTCAGCTGATGTATTTCTCACCTGAGGATAATAGCAGCAGGTAACTTTACAGGCAAACACAGATAGGCAGATGGAGATGAAGAACTCAAGGATGGCGAATACCAGCAACACACCACTGATTCCTGAGCGGAGAGTCTTAGAGAACATTCAACATGAGCATAAAGGACAACAACAACAACAACAAAGAGAAGTCAAGAATCTGTAGCCCTTTAAGCATAATTCTCACTACAGGATTTGAAACATCGGCAGATCGCTGTGCCATTCACAATAGATGACTTGATTTTGTGTATTTTAATCACTGTGGTGTTCACACTACGCAACACAACCTAAATGATCCACAAGAGGGGGTCACACACTACATGATCTGACAACAACTCGTTTCCCAACAGCTCAATCAATCTACCAAACCACAACTTTTGCTTGTTCTAGTATCTTAACTATATATTTATAGGCTGTATTACCAAACAAAGCTAATACTTTAGGGCAGTTCAGTCATAAAATATGTTGACAGACATTCAAAGCTTAACTTTTGATATCTCAGTAGAAGTTTTGAATGTAAATATGACATAACAATATTGATGTTTTATATGAGAACGGTCAGAATGACCAGTATGGTCATTTAATAGTTGGGCTGGCTTGTGTAGCAAGCCAGACTACTGTTATCCTATTTTTCTTTTGAGACTAAAAAATAAAACGCATCTCCTCCTAGAGCTTTTGAGCTATGACCACCAAGCTTACACCAAACCTTCAAACTGGTCTGACTCGGTGTGCTATATCTTTTCCAACTGATCCGACTTTCGGTTTTCCGAAAAACATCCCGGGACCATCGGAAAAATCCCATTGACTTAACATTTGACCAAACTTTGTGACCTCATAACTCTGCATCAGACTGTCACACAGACTTCTAACTGGGCTCATTTAATTCAGACTACCTAACTCCCAATACCTGATGACATTTGAACTTTCTGGCCACGGCCTAGTAACCCCTTTTGGGACCCTAGAAACTGTCCCATAGACTTCCATTCAAAAGACTGTCATTGACTTTACATTGGATCAAACTTTGAGAGCTCATAACTCTGCATCAGACTGTCCTACAGACTAATGGCTGAGCTCATTTAACTCAGACAACCAAACTACCAATAACTGACTAGCTTTTAACTTTCTAGCCACTCCCTAACAACCAGATACTGCACCCTAGCAACTGTCCCATAGACTGCCATTATAGAGGCCCAGATTAATATTGTCATGCTGCAGTGTTATAGCAACATGCTAATAATGATTAGCTAAGTACTTTAACATGCTAGAAATACTTAATGAACATTAAGAAAAATCTATTGAACACCGCTTTATCTATCTATCTATCTATCTATCTATCTATCTATCTATACTTTTTTAAAACTGTTTAAACTAAATAAACTATTACCAACAGGCTTTCACAAGCCAGCCTCAAAGTTTGTCTCGACAAACTTTAATAATCTAGTTACAGAATTATAGTCCCACTGTTAATATAGCCTACTCCTGTGTCCGTATTAATACAGAATGAAACGAGTGCATTGATGCCCATTCTGGCCAATCACAGACGTTTCTTTTGAGCTCCTGAGCACACATAAGCTCATGCTGATATGCCCTCTCATTGGCTCGTCATAACATCTGACCGCACGTGGGGTCGAGTCAGCCGTCTGCTCTGGAATATTCAGCATGCTAGATATTAGATTTCCATCTGGGAGGTGTCGGCATTTTGCACGTACCCAAGACACATACCTTGAAGATATCAGAGAACAATTCAAACAGTGTGTCAGCGCATTCTATGGCACCTTTATTTTCAATATTTGTATCCAGTGTAAATGAACAGTAATATCTTGATAAGTTCTGGACAGCATTGGACAGATGAGTGCAGATTACGTTTGATTTTTACAAGTGCACCTGTCACCGACTTGGTCCCAGTCATTCCCCTCGCTGGCCAGCAGAGGTCACCATCACCGGACTTCTAAGTATTACATCATGCTCAAACACTGATTGCCACACATCACACTGATGAACCACGCTCACACATATAAGCAGCTCACACACTCAGCCCTGTGCGAAGTCTTGTTCTGCCCTGTCTGACATTACTGAGCATTATCTCCCTGCCTGATCTCCCGTGCACTCTATAACATTAGAAAGATCCGACCCTTCTTATCTGAACATGCAGCTCAACTCCTTGTTCAAGCTCTTGTTCTCTCAAAACTGGATTACTGCAACTCTCTACTAGCCTGGCTTCCAGCTAACTCTATCAAGCCTCTTCAACTGCTTCAGAACGCAGCAGCATGAGTGGTCTTCAATGAACCTAAAAGAGCACATGTCACTCCGCTGCTCATCCGTTTGCACTGGCTGCCAGTTGCTGCTCGCATCAAATTCAAAGCTCTGATGTTTGCTTACAAAGCGACTTCTGGCCTTGCACCTTCTTATCTGCTCTTACTTCTGCAGATGTATGTGCCCTCCAGAAACTTGCGTTCTGTGAATGAACGTCGCCTCGTGGTTCCATCCCAAAGAGGGAAGAAATCACTTTCCCGAACGCTCACGCTCAATCTGCCCAGCTGGTGGAATGAACTCCCTAACTGCATCAGAACAGCAGAGTCACTCGCTACTTTCAAGAAACGACTAAAAACTCAACTATTAAGTCTCCACTACACTTCCTAATCTGCAATTGCCTCACTGGATATCACACTAACTGTACCAAAAAAAAAAAAAATCTAATACTACTAATACTTCCCTTCTTAGACTTTACAGACCTGAAACTTGCCTATAGCACTTATTCATTGTTGTTCTTAGTTGTGTAAATTGCTTCCTTGTCCTCATTTGTAAGTCGCTTTGGATAAAAGCGTCTGCTAAATGACTAAATGTAAATATATTACCTGGACTACATATATTGACCTTGCCTTGCTTGAACCTTACTTGTACATTTGACTTTGATTCATGCTGCCTGCCCTGAAGCCAGCCTGATATCTCGCCTCTGACCCACGCCGCCTGCCTGTGACGCATGCCTGCTATCACACTCCTTGACAGCCAGCTGCCCTAAGACCCATTATAACTACGTTTGATGTGAGTTCGCACGCAACTGCGTATTGTGTGATTGTTATTAAACTTTCATAAATATACTGCAAGTGAATCCCTCCGTGTCAGACTCCTCCTTACAGCACCAGTCACACAGAGATATTACTGTAATTATAAAATAAAACATCAATACAAAAATGAAATCAATACAAGAATTGATCACTTACCCAATTATCATAACAATAAGAGTCTCTGCAGTAATAATGGATGGATCCTAAAGCCAATTGTACTGAAAGCATAATAATGGAAATGCCCGCAGCTATAGCACTGAAAATGTTCATCCCGAGGGAAGCTCTCACCTACAGTAGACACACAGAAATAGAAAGGTTTTGTATCATGTTGTGTTAACACACTGTGGTTAAGCAGATGATAGATTATGTGGAAAGTGATTCAAATTATTTGACAAATATAGAAAATATAAGGTCTAAGCACTAAAGACCCATGTGTGTGATAAAGTGACTACATGGAAAGTCTCTCTGTAGAACGTTTTCCGTCTGATCACTAAACATTTGCTAGTAAATGTGTCGAGTTATGATCAACACTGTTTACTTCAGCTCACTCTATTCAACCCGCACAGGAGAATAGGGTGGCAGAATTTACAACACGTCAATTCACCAACTCCTACTGAGTTACAAAAAAAGTTTTAGTGGCTGTTTAACTGGGAGAAAAATAGTTTACCCTGATATCCTAAGCATTGTGTGTCTATTTTAAATAAAACGCTGTGCTAGTGTACCGGGGCAGCTGTAGCCTAATGTGGTTAGAGAGTTGGACTATTGATTTAAAGTTTTCATTTTTGAGTCTTTTATTATTATTCCACTACCATCTAGAGTTGGTCTGATTAAAATGGCATGTTTAGGTTCTTTCTAAAGAGTTTCAAATCTTTAAATATTGCAAAGTCTGCTTTCAATACTCTATTAGCACAGAAAAGAGGATGTTTATGCATAAATCCTTACCCACCAAATTTTACAAGCACCCAGTGTTTAGACCCATGAAAAGAACAAGTGTTGTGTACATACCAGACATAAACCGGCTGGTGAATTAATTTTGGTTTCAGCAGCAATGGAGAGCGAGCCTGCAGTAATGTACTGAGAACAGAGAGAAGAGCAAAACTTACAGCTTATGTTGGAAAATATATATACAGATATACATGGTACTCAACCAGAATGAACAGTTTACTGCCGCATGAACCACTTCCTCAACCGCTAAATGCATTTGCATTTTTCCAAGTTACTCACTAGACCTATCAAACACACTGGCCACAGCATAAAGTGAGCTGGTGGGTGTAATCACTGTGGTTTGTCGGAGGAAATTCTCATGAAAATGCATTCAGCACTAACTATAATTTACAAAGAGCTAAAGCAAATGGAGGGGATATAAACACACTAACTACATTGGACAACTGACAAGAACTTTGCTATAACACATGGGAACCAATCAAAAGCCATAGCTACTAGCAAGTGATCTCAAACCTGTGAGGATTCCGCCACTTCGGTCTTATCAGTTCTTGTTTTGGTGGCAGAGTCCTGTCTTGTCTTGTATGTTGTGCATTTGAGAGTTTGTTTAACGGCAAAACGTTGACCCTCACTAGGCCCTGAATGGGCAGACCCCACTTTAACCTAACAGCTCCTTCATCCTCCATAAAGAATGATAATGCAGAGACATTTAAAGTTTGAAAAAGGAACAAATAACACTGTCAAAACTTTACATTTCAACGGTAATCAGACGAACAGGAACACTTTTGTGTGCCAAAATAATGTAAAAGCAACTCTGTTCACCAATGTCTTCCATATCAGATCAGGGAGTCTGTTTGTGTGTTCAGTGCTGCCTCTAGTGGCAATACGAGATACTTAATAAACATATGCACAAAGCATTTACATGTTCTTTTAGTGTCTGTAAATGTGACAGTAAGATGTATTCTGGCTGATTACCCACTGTAGCTTGTGTTATCTAGGACAACATGTTGAACTGTATGATTGTTTCTTACTATCAGAGATCCCCCGTAAGGAATACCACTGAAGGCAAAGGCTGTTGACACGATTCCCAACAGGAAAGTCCAGAGACCAATAATTATCTGGACAGCCTGTGAGTATAAAGAGAGAAGAGTGTAAGAAATATACTGACATCAAAAATAATTATCTGGGTTTATTTCTCACCCCGAGGGCTTTTGGTTGGCCTTTTAGAAAAGCCTGAATTCCTTGAAGAGGTGAAACTCCTGCTGCATGCTGTATGTGAACAGGCACAGAAGAACTGGTCCCAGTCACAACCGGTGCTGTTTGTGTCGGTTGTTGAAGCTGGATGACAATCGTTGAAGGATTCATGGCTCCGACAGTCGAAATTTCAGTTTCAGAGTATCAAATCAACCTGTACAAAATCATAATAAAGCCAAATTTTTTGATACTTTCTATATTTCTAGATTTTATTAGCTGATGATGGATAATAAAGCGTATTTGGCATTTATGTAAAAAGATGACGTAAAAGTCAAATGAATATCCTGTTCACACTGCAGTCGAATTGCAAAACATCAACCTTGTATCAGATTTAATAGCACGTATGAAAGTGGCACGAATCAGAATTGAAAAGATCAGATGCCATGCGGTGTGGGCTGTTCACACGAACACAGATCTGAGACTCATGTGAGCAAAAACATCAGATTTGGACCACACTGACCTGCAAGTGTGAACGAAGCCTAAAAGTCAACTGTGTAAAACTGTAGAGTTAAATTAACATCAAAAGTCGTCAAAGCAGATGCCCACAATCCCACAATGCAACTCACAACTGGAAATCAACCACAAACTCACAAAATACAGAAACTGTTCATTAACAGATGTGTTTTAGTGTAAAACCAGTGCAAAATCTGCAGTTCAACTGTGTATTGTAGACGCTGTTAACGCGTAGTCTTGTGTTGCTTTCTAGCGTAATTTATGAGGTGTAATGGTCACATGTGTAAACAATGAAAAAAACACAGCTCAAGTTTAAAATGATCAACATCACCTACATTTAAAAAAGCCAAACAAGGTCCACTTGTTACCAAATAAACGAAACACATCCATTATTACTTTAGAAAACTCCAATATAATAAGTACTTTTAAGCATGTAAGGTATTGTCTTACCAGAAGCAAAATCCTGTTTTCAGCTGTGCTTTCACACTTCTGATATAAATCTAAACAAGCACAGTGTTTCTCAGAAAGAAACAGGAAGCAGGAGGAGTTTGTGCAACCATGATGCATGGCAAAGCTGGCCGCCTCCGCCTCAAACACAATCTGATATATGCCAGTATATGAAAATCATGTATATTTGGATTTTACATACAGGCTGTTTCTCAATACCAAGTACGCAAAGTTCGGACTTGCGTCCTTGGAAGTTCAGACTTGCCAATCTCACACTTCAAAGAATGAACTACAGAGGATGCGAGAACACAAGTCGGGTACTTCTTTAAATGGAACAGCAGTGTACTTCATAACGGCACCTAACTCACCATGGATTCATCGATTTCACTGTACATTAAAAATAAAATGATTTAATTATATAAAGCGCAGCCTTATAATTCATATTATAGTAATATTATACATCTATTTTTTGATTTAAGAAGATGTAAACACAAATCACTACAAATGTGAAGTGAAGTAGGTTATTATACACAGTCTCGTGTCTTTGATTATCAGATTTAATAAACTACAATGGACATTAAACAAGGATAACGTACAAGACATAAAAAATAAGAAATAAAGATAACGTTAAGCAATTTTGTAAACAAAGTCAAACCTCGTACAACACGGTAACAATTACAGACAATTACAAAAAGGTAACAAAATAATACAGCGCATAACAAATAATAGATTTAAAAGACCAAAAACTGTTCGTTAGATGTGCACGTAAATATCATGCTTTAACTACAATGGACAAATGAGATCCAGCGGTACATCCGAGATGGACTAGCTGATGTAAAGCTGCTCTCAGCGGGGGAGATGATGACGAAGCTCCCGCTGATAGGCTGGGGGTCAGAGTCCGCTTAAGCTGAGGCACATCGCCAAAGTTGTCCTATATAAACAAACTGCTGATTCGAGTTTAAAACAACTACATTCTCGCCTGAAAACTCCTAAAACTTTATTTCATGACACAGTAAAGGAGTATTTTAAACTGTGTACGTTTTCTCCTCCACCATTAGCTTTCGCTGCAAGGCATTCTGGGATACCTGAGCTTCGCAAGTTCGCACAAGTCACCTCTATGCATCCTTGGCAAAAGGGGCGAAGCGAGTACACATCCGGGAACTTCATCATTACTTGGAAAGCTGTGAACTTTGAATAGGAACAGTACTTCGGCAACGGTTGATGACGTTTTACGAGGACACAAGAACGCAAGTATAGACAAGAACGCATTTTGAGAAACAGCCAGAGTCGAGGGAGAAATCATTAGGCCTCCTGCGCAATATGTATTCTTTTTCAGATATCTCTTGAATTTGCATTCATATAAATGATGTTGAACTGATTCAGGAATTTTTCACTGTTTCCTGTAATATTTTTTCTTCTGGAGAAGGTCACGTTAGTTTTACTTCGGCTAGAGTAAAAGCAGTTTTTAATTTTATAAACAACATTTTAAAGACAAAATTATTATCCCCTTTAAACTATATGTTTACTTACAGTCTACAGAACAAACCATTGTTATACAATAACTTGCCTAATTACCCTAACCTGCCTAATTACCCTAATTAACCTGGTTAAGCCTTTAAATGTCACTTTAAGCTGTATAGAAGTGCCTTGAAGAATATCTAGTCTAATATTATTTACCGTCATCACGACAAAGATAAAATAAATCAGTTATTAAAGATGAGTTATTAAAACTATTATGATTAGAAATGTGCTATAAAAAATATTCTCTGTTAATGAGAAAGTGGGGGAAAAAACCAGGGGCCTAATAATTCAATTATTCCAACTTCAACTGTGTGTGTGTGTGTATATATATATATATATATATAAAGGAATTAACTCTTTATTGTTTTATTACTTGTCATTTTCACAATTTATTGAATATATGCACTGGGCGGACCCAGAGCTCTGTAAATCGAATTATTATTAATTTGTTTATAATAAATTACTAATACTGTTGCCTCAAAGAAAATCCTATATTCTTACCAGTCACTTTATACGGTACACCTGTTCAACTGCTTGTTAGCGCAAATTTCTATTTAGCCAATCACATTGCAGCAACTCAATGCATTTAGGCATAAAAACATAGGGGGGGGATTGGTAAGTAGAGCATGGGGAAGGTGGGATTAACGACAACCCAGGCTCATCCTGAAAACGTGGACATTTCTGGAAACTGCAAATTATGTAGCCGGAGGTACGTATGGCTGCATTTGATTTTTTTTAAGCGAATGCTACGGGGCGGGATGACAGCGTTTCTTTTGGCACTTACCGGCTGACCGCTTACCTCTGTGTGGAGAACTTTCCCGCCACAACCAGTTTGTCCAGTTAGCTTATCGTGTACGTCGGCGGACTTGAGACGCAGAGAGGAGTTGACCATGACGACCAGGTTCGAGTCCGGGGAAGAGCAGATCCAGAAATCAGGAAAGACAAAAACAGAATCAAAAAAGTAAAATGAATGAGGGAACAACAAATCTGAAAACATGGTAAAAATCAGACGAGGACTTTTCTTTTTCTGGATGGCTTTTGTAAAACGTTGATTTAGTTTAGGGAAGTGGGTGGGCGGGTCAAATCGGTAAAATTGGTTGGGTTTAGGGAAGGAGGAGGGTGGGTCAGTTGATTTGCCGGTCGCCCGGTCAATCATTCAGTCAGTCGGACAGACGGTCCGACGACAGCGGCCTTCTGGTGGGTTTACGCGAGAACAGCCCAGGCGCAAACAGCACTCGCAAGAGACATTTGAGATTTGAGAGCGGCCGCTCGCAGATTGGCGAAAACAAAATTCCGGGACAAATTTTGCAGTTTCCAGAAACGTCCATGGGACTACGTTTTTAAAATGAGCCTGGGTTGGTTAACGAGGTGTAGGAGTCAGGAGTTCATGGTAGCAGGCTAGATTGACCATCAGGCCACTGGGAACTGTCCTAGTGCTCCCTGTGGCCAGTCTGCCTTTGGTTGGTGGTTCATTCCACTGTGCCGACCTCTAAAATAGGGAAAGTAATTAATAAATAAATAAAAGGTTTTGTCAGAAATCTGTAAGTGTGTTCTCTTTGTAATATGGCTATAATGACAACTCTGAATACTTTAAAATGTCTTGTGTCTAATGTTTAAAGAGAGCTGTAACTGCTTTTCATGATTTGATTATGATTTAAGAATTGGGAAAGTGGCTGTGTTAACTGATGTCTTTGCATGTGTAGCAGAGTCGTGCGAAGCTAAGGTGCTAGAGGGGTTAGCTCACTTTGAACCACAACCCAACGACTAATCTCAATTTAATTGATATCGACTACGCCATCTGGGATTCAAACCCAGGAAAAATATAAAAGGTCACACAGATTCATCTCTTTATACGGTTTAAGGAGCAGACAGGAGACACGAGTAAATACAAAAATGTATTCACAATTCTTTTTAAAAGACAAACACTAAAATAGGTCCTTTTGACCAGTCAGGTCTAGAGGGCTTACTTACGAAAGGCACTGAAAGTGTTTAACATTCAACCCGCACACAGAAAATACTCAATGTCATACTGTCAAATCAATGTTCTCAAATGGAGGCAGTACTCACAGCACTGGGGCCACCCACAAGAGTGATCACCTGTGAAAGTTATTCACCATACACTTTCACACCACACTCCAGTCATACACAAGCACACACAAGCACACTCTGGCACAGCAGCACCACCACCAAAAAGGTTCTTTCACCCGTGGGCCCTCAGCTCCTGCAAGAAAAAGAAAGAGCCAAAAGCCACCAATGGGAAAGGGGCTTCACTCTCAAACAGGTTAATGTCACTCAAAGCACAGATACAGAAAGGTTTAGGTGGTTAGGGTTATTCAGAACTCAACATTGATAATGATGGCCTCTTGAAATGGACTCAATAATTATACCGTCACAGAAATGAAACATTCACAAAACACACTTTGGTGCAAATGAACATGGACACAATTCCCGCTCGAGGGTTCGTTTGAAAGCGTACCGAGACCACCTCTTCAAGCAGTTCTCGGTACGCTATTTTGGTCAGCTTTTTAGATTAGATTCAACGTTATTGTCATTACACATGTACAAATACAATGCAACAAAATGCAGTTTAGGTCTAACCAGCAGTGCAATAGCAGCAAGTGCAGGATACAGGTATAAGTTATAAAGTGCAGTTATAGAAAAACTATAGTGATATTTACAGATGGATGTACTGTCGACATTATATACAGGTTGTATTAGCTATGAACAGATTTACAATATATGAATATATGTGCAGGTTGCTAATAATAATCAGAAGTGTGCAGATGAATAAACATAATTACAAATGTATGTACAGTGGGTGTGTACAAAATTACAAATGTCCATGTGCAGTGGGTGTGTACAGTTCAAATAAGTAAATCAGTGTAATGTGGTGCAGTGAATATGTGCAAAATATTAAATGTGCAAATGTTAAACGGTGCAGCGACTGTGGGGAGTTTAAAGCCTGGTTTATACTTCTGCGTGAAGTGACCGGCGTAACCCACGGCGCATGCAACGCGTGTATCTGTGCATTTATACTTCTGCTGCTGTCTCTGTTGGTCTGCATTAACACTTCCGAAGCGCTAGTTGGCAGTGTGGTGTAAATGTTCCTCTGTGTTGAGTTTCTTCGCTGCTGTGTTGCTTTTCCTGAACACTTCCTGAATGTACAAGTGGCTTAAACTCACTCATTTTGAGGCAGGAACCGGCGGACGTGCAACAACTTTAACTATGAGGTAAACACAAAACAAAACTTTTCATCAGGAGCTCCTTCACGGTACTCCACACTTGTAAACAATCGCTCCATCAGGCTCCCACCATTCACGCGGCTTTCGGTCCCGCCCAGACTTGTCAGCGCTACCAAGCCGACCAATCACAGAGCTTGCGCTACGCGTCATTGCGACGTGTAGTTACATTTTTTGAGAGGTGCAAGTCAGCGATGCCGACGGCCACGGCGAAGGGCTATGCGTCAGCAACGTAGCATACGCTGGTCTTTGATGCAGAAGTATAAATCAGCCTTAAGTTAGAGAAGAGTGGAGGGTGTATTTGGGGGGGGGGGAGTTCAAGAGGGGCAGAGTTCAAGAGGGAGACAGCTCTGGGGTGGCTTTTCATTTTTATGCTGACGACACTCAGATTTATGTCCCTTTCAAAAGTAGGGATAAAAAGGGGCTTGACTCCCTTATGAGATGTCTAGTCGAGGTTAAGACCTTGCTTTAGTCAAATTTTTACATTTCAATGAAGAAAAAACTGAGCTGGTTTGGCGATCCTAACCCTCTGCATTTATCAGGTTTTGGTGAGCTTTCCACTTATCAAAAAACTGTTGTTAGAAACTTACGATTTCAATTCGACAGTGATCTGAAATTTAACAAACAAGTAAATACAGTTGTTAAATCCAGGTTTTTCCATTTACGACTTGTGGCAAAAGTAAAGTCGTTTCTCTCTTTTAATGACCTTGAGAAGGTGATCCATGCTTTTATTTTTGGCAGACTTGACTATTGCAATTCCCTGTATGTGGGTATTAGTCAAAATGCCCTAAATAAATTGCAATTAGTACAAAATGCGCCTGCGAGACTTCTGACAGGGACTCTCTGGGCTGATTTTAAACTATTAATCTTTGATTTTAAATCCTTAAACAATCTGGCACCATCTTACTTATAAGACCTGCTACATGTATACAATCCTGGTAGGTCACTGAGCTCTTCTGATGAATTTATTCTATCTATACCAAGGTCCCGGTGTAAGCGAAGTGGGGATCGGGATTTTGCTGTTGTCGCCCCAAAACTCTGGAACGGGCTTCCACCCCACATCAGACATGCTCCAACTCTACCTGTTTTTAAAAAACGTTTGAAACGCCATCTTTGTTCTTTAGTATTTGAGCCTTTTTTTTGTTGAGGGGTTTGCCTTATGTTTTAATTGTTATATATATGTGATGTAGATTTTATTTTTAGTATTGATTGTGTTCAGCACTTTGGGCAATGTTGTGTTGTAAAAAATGTGCTATATAAATAAACTAACTAACTAACCGAACTAAATAAGGCAGGTGTGAAAGCACCCTTATACCTTACCAGAGATTCAGTGGCGTCCCTCTCTGTGTCTGGCAGTCTGCTTCTCATCCCTTAATCTAGTAAGGGTAAGGTTGTGATTTTCTTTTTAGGTTTTTAAGATGTATAGGATTTAGAGCAGTGATTCTCAAAGTTTGGTATACGTTCCACTAATGGCACACAGGCTTCATCTAGTGCAGGTTTGGACAAATTTGCTCCTGGAGGGCCAAATTTTGCTCTAACACTAATCAAACACACCTGAATAAACTAGTTAGTGTCTTGAAGATCACAAGAAAGCATGTTTGATTTGGGCTGGAGCAAAACTATGCAGAACACCGGCCCTCCAGGATCATGTTTGCCCATCTAGTGCTATGCAGAGGAATCATAGAACTATTAAATTGTTAAAAACACTTTTGACTCCTTCAATCACACCGGTGTGATCACAATGTTCAGTTGCAGCATGTGGTCAGCTGCTAAACACAAGTCTGCTTTCCTGCGATGACTCGAGTCAGAGAAAGACGCAGGCTTTGCTTGTCATAAATCACAAATCATCGGTATTTACAAACAAATAACTTTTATTTTGAAATACACAGAGGTCATGGCAAAACATAAAGATACGGATGTCGAGCATATCAAATACACAGTGATATCTATGGAGATGATTATAATAATGATTAATTTATTCATTTAGTCGCCAACTTATTTAGCATATGTTTTATGCAGAGCATGCCCTTCCAGCTGCAACCCATCACTGAAAAACATCCATACACACCTTATGCACTACGGCCAATTTTAGCATACTCAATTCACCTATACCACATGTCTTTGGATTTGTGGGGAAAACCCATGCCAACATGGGGAGAACATGCAAACTCCACACAGAAACAGCTGAGGCTGGAACCAGACACCTTCTTGTGAGGGGCAATCGTGCTTCCCACTGCGCCAGCGCGTCACCCCTATAATAGTCCTTTTACACATAACACATAGTCTAATGATATAACATCAGATACACAATGTTCAGGTAACTAGAATCGTCATGCTGCCCCGTTTTTTCATGTTGATTCACATTTATTCGCCTTCAGTGTACGCTGGGGGAGCTTCTGCAGGAGGATGTTGAAAGCATGGTTCTGGGACTTCTTGAGGGCATTGAATGTACTGTTGGGGGATTTCTGCAGGAGGGTGTTGAATTAAAGGGTTGTTGTCCACAGGAATCTGCAGGATAAAATGTACATGGTCAGCTTAAGCTATTAGTTGTTGTTCAACAATTGTTGTCCCATTACAGAGTTGCTCACATTTACAGTACACAATAAAGGTTTTGTGGATTTTTACTTCACATTGCAACAATTTGTGAATTAATGATTTGTGGTTTATGTGTGAATACAGAACAGAGATTGGATGAATTAAACAAAACAAAAAAAAACATGTCATTGGTTTCTGTCTGCTCTGCATGAAATTCAGATGTCAATTCTGTCTTAGGTCACCTAATCGGCTCCTAAGTCATTATATACATGTCGCAGGAGATTGGTTGTTGTTGCTTCAACAGACAATTGTCTTCATGATCTTTAATCAAAATGGTAAAAAGTCTGCAGAAACGTCTGGTTCACATGGACTTTAAGGGTATGAACATTTAAGAGTGAAGAATTACAGACAGATATTGGGTTTGTTGGTTCTTGTGAAACCTCAGAACCTCAAGCTTTAAAAGGCGCTTTATCCTTTACACCTAAATTTATCTGATGGGTTCAGCTGATGTATTTCTCACCTTAGGTTTACAGCAAGAGGTGGCTTTACAGGCAAACGCAGACAGGGAGATGGAGATGAAAACCTCAAGGATGGCGAACACCAGCAACACACCAATGACTCCTAAGAAGAGAGACTGAGAGAACATTCAACATGAGCATAAAAGATAACAACAAAGAGTAGTCAAGAATCTGTAGCCCTTTAGGTATACTGATGAAACTAAGTGATGTTTAAAGGTGCCATAGAATAATGATCTGGACATACCTAGACTTACATTTTCAGTACATGCAAATGGCACACCTTCAACCTCAAACACCCTTGATTCCTCATTGTCATGTAAATCATGCGAGTGTAAAACTAAAACTCTAACTCATTTCCCATTTCCCCAACATTTACTAGAGTGATTACATCAATTATCACCCCCTCTGCCTTTTTCCACACAGCTTGTTATGTTCTATGTGGGGCTCTTATTTTGAAAAAGAGAAAGGCATAATAAAGCTCTCGCTTCCTTTTATCTATTCACTTTATTCTCAGTGTACGAGCGGGCGCGTTCTCTTTGGCTTGAGATTTCCGGCCTTATTTATTTTAAGACATTAAAAACAGCTTGTTTGGCTGCTTGATGTAGCAAACGGACATTTTAGTATTATATTATATTGCTTGTCTGTACAGTCATGCTAACACTTGTTTGTGGAGCAGGTAGTTTGGCAGTTTTCTGCTGTTTATTATTCCTAGTTGTTTCTGCCATAGGCAACTGAATCTGAAGTTCTTAATCACAAAAAACGAGCGCACTTCCACACTGAAGAATAAGGTCAGCTAAAGCAGACTTTTCCATTCAAGGGCCAATTTCTTTGATTGTAAATGGACCTATACAATTATTTATAGGGAAATTTTGCCCGTACCTAAGCCACATACCTTGTAGATATCAGAGAACAATTTAAACAATGTGTCAACACCTTTAATTTCAATATGTGTATCCAGTGTAAATGAACAGTAATACTATAATTATAAAATAAAACATGAATACAAAAATGATATCAATATAAGAGGTGATGACTTACCCAATAATCATTACAATAAGAGCCTGTGCAGTTACTGTGGATGGATCCTAAAGCCAAAAATACTGAAAGCACAAAAATAGCAATGCCCGCAGCTATAGCACTGAAAATGTTCATCACGAGGGAAGCTCTCACCTACAGTAGAGACACAAACAGAAAAATAGCATGTTGTGTTAACACACTGTGGTTAAGCAGATGATAGATTATATGGAAAGTGATCTAAATGAATTGATAAATGAATACAATACAGGATCTAAGCACCAAAGACTCGTGTGTATGAGTAAGTAACTACATGAAAGTCTCTCTGTAGAAAGTCTTATCACTGAACATTTGCTTGTAAATGTGATGAGTTATGATCAACACTGTTTCAGCTCCCGCATCAGGTTATAATACACCACAACTCCACACAGGAGATTAGTGTTGGACAGCACTCTTATCACAATGTTTGCTCATTTAGTCCAGGATATGCTTTATTTTTCGTCTTAGTTAAATGCTGTTATTGAAGCAGTGGTGTGTGTGTTTTAGGTGTGACCACTGCGGGGCGCTGTTGTTATAGATATATACAGTTGTGGTATTTTCACCTGATGTGATGCAGAGGTCAGACAGTTAAATAAAAAGCTTCTTAGTGTTCTGAGAGAAAATAATCCAAGTCTTTATATAAAACTAACAATTTAAAACCAAATTTTACAAGCATCCAGTGTTTAGACCCATGAAAAGAACAAGTGTTGTGTACATACCAAACACAAAGCAGATGGTGAATTAATTTTGTTTTCAGCAGCAATGGAGAGCGAGCCTGCAGTAATGTACTGAGAACAGAGAGAAGAGCAAAACTTACAGCTTATGTTGTAAAATATATATATACAGATATACATGATACTCAACCAGAATGAGCATTTTACTGCCGCATGAACCACTGCCTCAACCAGAGTCCAGACACTAGTCCTGTCTTGTATGTATTGTCATATTGTATATATTGTAATATATTCATATGCCTTAATTAGTGTGAAGGACTGGAAGACTCATAAGGAACATCCATGGAAGAAGAAGCGAAGACAAAGGGGCAAAGATGAGGACAACCATCCGACGTCAATACCGGCCGACGACTGAGAGGAGAAGGTAAGTTTATAAAGAGGTAAGAGTTCATGGGATTAGACGCTTCATCTACACAGTTCATATTTTGATAAGGCTCCTCTCATTTGCTGTCCCAGACTCTGGCATTGCCCCATTACAGTAAGAGGGTCTCCGAATTGCAATCATTTGAAGCTCCAGGAACACTTTTGTGTGCCAAAGTAATGTAAAAGCATCTTTGTTCACCAGTGTCCTCCATATCAGATCAGGGAGTCTGTTTGTGTGTTCAGTGCTGCCTCTAGTGGCAATACGTGATACTTAATAAACATGTGCACAAAGCATTTACATGTTCTTTTAGTGGCTGTGAATGTGACAGTAAGATGTATTCTGGTTGATTACACAATGTAGCTTGTGTTATCTAGGACAACATGTTAATTGTTTCTTACTATCAGAGATCCCCAGATGAAAGTGTTGAGGAAGAAATAATTTCTAAAACCTGAACACACAGATACCAACAACAAGGTCAACACACCGATCATTATCTGGACAGTCTGTGAGGAATAAGAGAGAACAGTGTAAGGATGAGAGTATTTCATGAAGTAAAGCAGAATAACATGCTGTGTGTTAATGTGTGTTATCTGGGTTTAAGGGAGATTTCTCACCCCGAGGGCTTTCGGTTGGCCTCTCAGAAAGAGCTGAATTCCTTGAAGAGGTGAAACTCCTGCTACATGCTGTATGTGAACAGGCACAGAAGAACTGGTCACAGTTGCTGTTTGTGTCAGTGGCTGAAGCTGGATGACAATCGTTGAAGGATTCATGGCTCCGACAGTCGACATTTCAGTTTCAGAGTATCAAATGAACCTGTACAAAATCATAATAAAGCAAAAGAGGATGCCATCATCAGCACGATATAGACACTGGTAAATATTTTGTCTTCAACTTGTGTCTAGCAAACATGAGCTGCAGCATTCAGGAATGTGTTTTTTTTATTTAAAGTGTATCCAGACACAGCTTTAACACCACATTGTTACGGTGCCAGATCTATTTTTGTGGTCAAAGGACTCGATTAAACAAATCATTACATTACAATAAGTTATTTAGCAGATGTTTTTGTCCAAAGTGACTTACAATTAACGAGGCATTCAGCAATTCAGCAACAAGAGGCAATACACACAAGAAGTGCTAATGAAAGTCAAAGCGAAACTGAAACTAAAACATTCAATTAGGCTACTCATTTCATTTTGGTCATGCGGTCAACAATAAGACATTATCAGACAGTGTGAATATTTCCATTTTAACAAAGCAATTGTGTTCTGGCCTTTTGTTTTAGCGGCACAAGCATAGTTGCGGGAATGGTCTCGAATGCAATTTACTGAAATGTTATTCGTCTGCTTGTTTATGTAGTAGATAAATGACCAACAAAATATACATTATTATGGATTCTTAGTTCAGTCGTCTTCTTCAGTCAAAAATCTGGAGATGATTTTTGATGGACGTCCAGAAGTTTGGCCAGAGGAGAAATGGTCGCGCACAACTGAGCCTGGATCAATTGGTGAAATTTATTTGTTGCCACTGGCTTGCATGGTTCGGGACTTGTGGAGCTATGCATCAATGGATTTGCTCTTTAGTATTTGGACTTTCAGCAGTGAAAATTAAACCACAATGAACTAGGCTAAACTTCAACTCTGAAAACTGGACTGACACAGTTTAATAAAGGGACTAGGCTGAAAAGAAAATAAATGAACGAATGAATAATGGACAGGTCTTTCTTCGAAGACTATCATAAAAGACACCACCGGCCCATACATCAGGAAGACCTTTGAAGTATACCACCAATTTTTCCAAGACAAAGACCCAAAGCACACGGCTCCAAGTAAACACATTGCCGTGGAGGGTATAACCTGGGTGAATACTCCAGCACAACCGCCTGATATGAATCCAATTGAGATGAAGAAAGCTAAATCAACTACGAAGACTGACTTAATTGCTGCCATAAGTAAGTTCTGCTTTGAGGAACTGAGGAACAAACAAAACATAAACTCTCCCTAAGCCGGTCAAACCGGTTTTGCACTTTACACCTAGCTGTGAATGAAAATATAGAGAGGGATATAGAGAACGTAGCCTAAAAGTCACTTTGTTAAACTGTAGAGTTGAATTTTCAACATCAAAAGTCATCAGATCAACATCCCATAATGCAATTCACCACCAGAAATCAACCAAAAACACACAAAATACGGAAACTTTTTTAATAAACAGAGGTGTAATGATCACGAGTGTTTAATCAATGGAAAAATCCCAGCTCAAGTTTGAAATGATCAACATCACCTACATTTTAAAAGCCATTCAAGGTCCACTTGTTACCAAATAAAGGAAACACATCCATTATTATTACTTTAGTAAATGCAGACATAATACTTTTAAGTATGTGGCGTACCGTCTTACCAGAAGCAGAATCCCGTCTTCAGCTGTGCTTTGACTTTCTCTTCTGCTGTAACTTTACACCAGCACAGGAGCAGGAAGCAGGAGGAGTTTGCTGCAGAATGGCCCGCAGGTAAAGAGCCTCTTCCTCAAGCTCTCGGTTTGTTTTTTTCTATCTATATATTTGCTCTTTTTTGGGCTCCGAACATTCCTTGCCCGATATAATCCTTGGATAGCATTGTACCCTCACAGGCTTCTTTATTAGGTTGTTGAACCCGTTTTTGCCTTCAGAACTGCCATCTTTCGTAACATATGTAACCCTTTTATTTTATTTTAGCTATGGACTCCAGTAGGGGTGGGCGATAAGGTCTAAAATTAATATCAAGGTATGATAAGCTTTTTTTCTGGTACATTTTGGGAGGAGTAGCCTGTCCTGTCCCTTTAGCATGTGAATAAAGTTGATATTTGTATAATATAATAAGTAAATGGTAGGTAACCTTATCAAAAAGAGACATGGGAGAGTATTTATGCATTCTCTGTAAAGTCAAATCGCGAATTTGGACTTCATACGAATCAATGCATGGAGGAATTAGGCGGAACTAACGAAACTGAAAGTGTTTGGCGGAAGCAATTGGCTGACGGAGCTTGCCGAGGAGATACGGAACTTGCCGAGGAGATACGGGAAGTGCCGAGGAGATACGGGAAGTGCCGAGTGAATGCGGAAAGAAAAAAAAACTCACATGGCAAGTGCATGCATGCAGACGCACTGTGAAAGCTGAAGAACGCGATCGCTGCATTAATAAACTTTCACGATTGCATGCAGAAAGTTTTAAGCTGCAGTGAGTAAGGAAGGGAAGGCACATCAGCACTTGGTCATCTCAGGGACACTGATGGTATGAGAATTGACTTTTTCTAATTACAAGGACTGCCACATGCATTGCCTTATTCGTAATATATGTGCAATATAAAAGACAGCTACTATTTTGTTGCACTGTAGTTCATTATTTTGTGCATTATAATACTTTGTGCACAATATTAAGTTAATCATGCTGTTCATTTATGTAAATAGTTTATGTAAAGTGAAATGCTTGCATTAATATTAAGAAGTATTATTTTAATATGCAAATTAATAATGCTGAGACAAAATTTGTGAAGGAACTGTCTTTATTTATATTACATTGTGTTTGTTTAAGTCAGTATTGCGAATAATGTATATTTTATATATTTTGTTCCTTTTCTAAGGTTATCAACCTATTGCTATCGCTGCTACTGGTATCGCTACTACTGTTCAAGCGCTACAGTATTGTATTATTGGGCAAACTGAAAGTTAAAATACAAAAGCTGAAAAGCCTTGGAGTTGTTCCCTGTGTCCCCTGTTATTGGCTGTAGCTCTTTCGAGTTAGAAGCAGATACTGGTGTGTGTAACCCATAAGAACTCGACATTCTCAACATATCCATTTTGCAAAAATATGTTTTGTACAACAAAACAGAAATTAGCAGTGTATTTACACGAGAACAGTGTAATAATGTGCACTTTTCACAAAAGCTAACTCTCTCTTCATCTGAACTCTGATGAATCTAGACATTCAAGTTCTTTGCCAGGAACACCAGCCTGTTTTCTGGCTTCAGTGATGCCCTGCAGCTTGTTACAATATTGCTCCCTGTGCTGAATGCATGCTCGGAGGGTGAGCCTATGGCTGGGATGCATTGGTATTTTCTTTGACAGACGGCTAATGCGCAGGAAGTGCGAACATTGGAGACGCCACCACTTTAGAGTCACTGACTACGTTTACATGGACATCAGTAAACTAATTACTTGCCTTAATCTAATTAAGACAATAATAAGATTAAGGTTCTAAGGTTAAGGATTTCTTTCATGACCGCTTTTTACATGTTATAGCACATACTTAGATTAACATCATTTCATTACTGCGCTATCCGCATTTCGTCTGGAGTTTCACGTAATTTCAGTTGTATCATTATTACTTTGTCAACTTTAACTGCGGTTTAGCACTTTCACTTTCATTCGGGCATGCCCCCCCCCCCCCCCCCCCCCCCCCCCCAATGACAAACGAGATATTGGATGCAATTATGAACTGCTGGAAGAGTGTTGTTTTAATGGAAGTTCATACCAAATGCTGAATAGATATCCTGTCGCAAAATATGGCGAAAAGCCCTATATGACGGTAATAATTCGATTAAGGTGTTGACATGTCTGTAATGCACTTTAATAATGCGACTAAAATCGGCATACTCCACATGTCTTAATTCCATTTCTCTTTAGTTTGATTATGACATTAATCTGATTACATGCTGGACTTGGTCGACTGTTTACATCAGGGGTCACCAATCTTGGTCCTAAAGGACTGGTGTCCCTGCAGGGTTTAGCTCCAACTCTCCTCAACACACCTGCCTGGATGTTTCAAGTACACCTAGTAAGACCTTGATTAGCTTGTTCAGGTGTGTTTGATTAGGGTTGGAGCTATAATCTTTAGGACACCGGACCTCCAGGAACAAGTTTGGTGACCTTTACATGGTCGACTCTTAATCAGAGTATTGTCTTAATTGCATTAAAATCAAATTATTGGTGTCCATGTAAATGTAGTCACTGTCAGCTTTTACCATCAACATGTAGCCATCTAGCTCCATGTCAATGCCCTGCTGTAGTTTCCTCTACGGCGGACTCTGTCTCTCCATCTGGTTCTGACACTCCATTCATCTCTTTTCAGATAAGAAAAGTTTCACTTCTGCCACTTTTTAACAGTTTTGGTTTGGGTTTGTGTCACTTTAAATGCTCAGTATGCCGCCCTTAGTCACAACGCGGAGGCTGAGGTTCCTTTTTCAGATGTTTAATGCACTTATCAACACAAGATGCCGACATCAACACCGTAGAACTGAATAAATGAGTATGATAACAACATCAGACACATTCACATACATAAGAATTAAGCATACAACTAAGTCATTAATGAACAAAACTACATTCACAAATCACTTTGCCTGCTTGTAAACTAAGAGAGAAGGGGTACATCCTTCGATTTCTTGATTATATCACGTATAACTCACAAAAGAAGCGTCCTTAAATCTTGCTGTTACTTTTCTCTTTCACTTTCATGCGAGTGCTCAACCTGGAAGTAGTGTTGTTGCTGGGCAAGATGGGAATGATATTAAAATATGTCCAAAACTGTTAGAATGAAAAACTTTTGCTCAAATAAACCATAGATCAGTAAATAAGTCAACAATAAGCATTTTAAAATGATCAAAAATCGAAAATTAAACTAATCACAAGTTATTGAAGTAAACACGTTTAAAGTACACTAGCGCCATCTAGTGGGAACCAAATTTTACTGCTTTATGACAGCAGTTACACTCAGTCTCGGTCAGAGCTGATCTTCATTTTTTTAGTGTTTGTGGAAAGCAGGCGAGTCAGCCGACCCAATATATGAGCAGGCAGAGCAGGATTCTCGTAACAAACACTAGTGCAATACCGAATTTGGTCTGTCAGTTTCAGGTGTCAGATGAGATGAGTGTGCATCAGGGTCAGTCTTTGCTTCTTTTTGTTATTGTTTCCAGCTGGTCTTATATGTCTGGCAAGAGGGCGTGTGACAAAATAAAAATAACTTTTGTTTCATCCGTTCAATTGAACTGCTCTTAATTGACTGTGAGTTTTCTGATCTCAGCTTGGGGGTTCATTGCACTGTGTCAACCCTTGTTAAATTAGGGAATAAGCCGAAGTAAAATGAGTGAGCTATTCCTTCAAGTGAACTCCATTTTCCTTCTGAGAGAGTCAAGACCATCGCACCCACAGAGCTGATAGTATGGCATTTTCTTGTTCCTAATCATACAAATCATATTTAAACACTCAAATTCTTCCACAATTAAACATTTTCTTAAATGAAGATTGCCAGAAAGTCAGTGGTGACCCTGTCTTGGTCCAGCGGTCAGCCACTAGATATGCTAGTGTAACCCCGCCGGTCCTACACCACCCAACCCGCTCCGGGCTGGGATTGAACCGCCGACCTTCCACATGGGAGTCGTTGCTCTACCAAGGAGGCTTAAGACCATGGCCTCTAGCATCTGTCACTAGAGCACCTTTAGAGGTCAGAGGAGTGAGGTTTACCTGCACAGCACACACTACCTGGTCTCCGTTACACTAGCCTGATAGTGTCTTGGGGTTGAAACTAAACATTGCCTTACACTGGCTCTTCAGGACCAAGTTTCGGCACCCCTGTATTAAGGGTGGTAAGGCCTGTGATTTTCTTTCAGGTTTTTAGGATGTACAGGATTTAAAGCAGTGATTCTCAAAGTGTGGTATATGCACCGCAACAAGTACACAGGCTTCTTCTAGTGGTATGCTGAGAAATCATAGAATTAAAAAAAAAAGTTAAAAACACATTTAACCCTTTGCGTCCTACAATCACACCGGTGTGATCACCGGCTAAACACAATCTGCTTTCCTGGAGTTACTCGTGTTGTGCCAGAGAAAGACACAGGCAGTGCTAGTCATAATAATATTTATCCAATTTATCAGTTTACAAACAAATAGCATTTTAAAAAATATACATATGTAATAGCAAAATACTTAAAAATACTCATGTAAATGCAAAATACACAGCGGTATCTATGGTTGCGACTATAATTATCATTTTACACAATCTTATAGTGTGGTTTATTCAGACCAGATACAGAATGGAAGTAGAATCGCCACAGCATCAAAGCAGCAGAACTGTCACGCTGCCCTGTTTTTCATGTTGATTCACATTTATTTGCCTTCAGTGTACGCTGGGGGAAATCCTGCAGGAGGATGTTGAAAGTATGGTTCAGGGACTTCTTGAGGACATTGAATGTACTGTTGGGGGATTTCTGCAGGAGTGTGTTGAATTAAAATGTTGTTCTCCACAGGAATCTGCAGGATAAAGTGTACATAGTCAGCTTAAGTTATTGGTTGTTGTTAAACAGTTATTGCTCCATTACCCAGTTCCTCACACGTTTACAGCACACATTAAAGGTTTGTGGATTTTTACTTCACAAATCAATAATTCACAAATACAGAACAGAGATTCGATGGATTAAACAAAACAAAAGAAAAACATGTAGTTGGTTTGTGTCTGGTCTGCATGAAATCCAGATTTACAATGTTTTGCTAATTGTTAGTCCTGATAAGAACAATTCTGTCATCATCACAGGCTGATTGGTCACCTAATCGGCTCCGACATCATTAACTACATGGTGAAGGAGATCGGTTGCTGTCGCCTCAACAGACAATTGTCTTCGTAATCTTTAATCAAAATGGTGAAATTATTAAATAAGTCATCATATTTAAATAAAAGTCTGCAGCAACATCTGGTTCACATGGACTTTAAGGGTCTGAACATTTAAGAGTAAAGAATTACAGACAGATATTGGGTTTGCTGGTTCTTGTGAAACCTCAAGCCTTAAAATAGCTAAATTTATCTGATGGGTTCAGCTGATGTATTTCTCACCTTAGGTTTACAGCAGCAGGCGACTTTACAGGCAAACACAGACAGGGAGATGGAGATGCAGAACTCAAGGATGGCGAACACCAGCAACACACCACTGATTCCTATAAAAATAGTCTGAGAGAACATTCAACATGAGCAAACAGGATGACAACAATAACAAAGAGAAGTCAAGAATCTGTAGCCCTTTAGGTATACTGATGAAACTAAGTGATGTTTAAAGGTGCCATAGAACAATGATCTGGACATACCTACACATACATTTTCAGTACATGCAAATGGCATACTTTGAACCTCAAACCCCCTTGATTCCTCATTGTCATGTAAATTATGTAAGTGTAAAACTAAAACACTGACTCTTAGAATCCACTTGGATGCACACTCCATTTCCACAACACTTCCTAGAGACATTACAATCATTAAAACATTATAAAGCTCTCTCTTCCTTTTGTCTATATAATCAGTTAAATCAGACTTTTCTATTCAAGGGCCGATTTCTTTGGTTGTAAATTGACCATTAATTTTTTTTGCATGTACCTATGCCCCATATATATATCAGAGAACAAGTGCATTCTATGGCACCTTTGATTTCAATATTTTAATCCGGTGTAAATGAACAGTAATATCTTGTAAAGACGAGTGCTGATTACGCTAGTTTTTTTTACAAGTGCACCGGTCACACAGTGATCTTACTGTAATTATAAAATAAAACAATACAAAAATTATATCAATATAAAAGTTGATGACTTACTACATCATTATAACAATGAGCATCTCTGCAGCGAGTGACGATGCGTGCAAAAGCCATTGCTTGTGAAAGCACAATAATGGAACTGCCCGCAGCTATAGCGCTGAAAATGTTCATCCCGAGGGAAGCTCTCACCTACAGTAGACACACAGAAATAGAAAGGTTTTGTATCATGTTGTGTTAACACACTGTGGTTAAGCAGATGATAGATTATATGAAAAGTGATCAAAATGAATTGATAAATGAATACAATACAGTATGAGTGTATGAGTAAAGGCCGGCTCACACAGTGGGATTGTTTATAATCCTGAACGATTGTAGCATGTCAGACTGCACGAACATGGTGCTCATGTCACACTGTAAGATCTCAGCTGTCATAAAGTCAGACTGAACGACAATGAAGACGCGCCAAACACGAAAGAAAACGCCCCCGGAGTTTGACGTCATCCACCCGTGACACTTTCACTATCCCGCATTCTGTAGCGGCAGTTTTGCACACGGCGAGTCTCAGTAATAAAACCAGGAAGAAAAAAGCTGTTTTGACATTTCCCCGTGGTCATTTGAATTGTCACATGGATTGCATCATCAGATTCTGAGCTTCTATTGGTTCTTGGATTGACGCTCATCACAGCTGTTGTCACACTGCAGGAAAGTGTCTGAAATCTTCTGACACTGCCAGAACTTCATCAGAGGAAAAATCTGATCACAACGGGCACGAATCGGCTGTCTGTGAACATGTCAAACCAACAATCAAAGATCACAGATTTTAGCCTGGGATTTCAGGAATCTTTTAGGATTTCCCAAATTTGTCTCAGATGACAAAACCGTGGCTGAAATCTCACAGTGTGAGCAGGGCTTTAGTGATTACATGGAAAGTCTGTGTTCAATACTCTATTAGAACAGAAGAAATAATATTTATGCACAAATCCTTACACACCAAATTTTACAAGCACCCAGTGTTTAGATCAGTGTTTTAAAGTGTTCATTACATACCAAACATAAAGCATCTGGCGAATTAATTTTGATTTCAGCAGCAATGGAGAGCGAGCCTGCAATAATGTACTGAGAACAGAGAAAAGAGCAAAACTTAAAGCTTATGTTGGAAAATATATATACAGATATACATGATACTCAACCAGAATGAACAGTTTACTGCCACATGAACCAGACACTAGTCCTGTCCTGTCTTGTATGTTGTGCTCGACTTGAGTTTTCTCAGCTCGATCACTCCTTTCCTGTTGTTGTCTGTGTTCGTCTTTTGTTTAAACGGCATCTTGGCCATGCTCAGGATGCACACTCTCGTCCTGGTGTGTGTCTTGTTCGCAGCATGGTGTTTTCGGTCTCAGAGCTCTGTCTAGTTGGTTTCGGTTGATGCTTGGATCGGTAACATGAATGCGAGTGCATGGTAAGTGTTTAAATTATTGTGTACTCTTTTCATGCATTCTGTCTCGTCTTGGTGTTGTGTAGAGCATGTGGCTCCATGTTTACATGTTGGTCACGTGCTTTAGTGTTGTATTTCATGTGAGCACTCGGTTAATGAGTTCCTTCACTGGCTGTGTGTTCTAGTGCTGTTTTACCTGAGCACACGGCTTGTGTTGTTTCTTTGTGTCATGTGATCTCCTGTCTATTGTCTAGTTCCACACTCCTTGTTATACCATTATACAATAGTTCACACTTAGCTGAAGATTGAGTATAAAGCTTGTTTGGCATGCTGTCCTATGAGACTGAGCTCATAAGATCCTCGAACCTGGGGCTCCTTCACATTTGCAAGGCGAGAGGTGAGTTTGAGCTCAGGTAGATCTCGAGAACTCCCCTGATGTAGTAGCTAATGAACAGATAGGGATTGCTCTTAAAAGAGAACTACTGACCAGAAGCATGTCTGCAGTGCTGATTTGGATTAGTCAATTACATTAAGTTGCATGTTTTTAGACGGTGGGAGAAACCCACGTGAGCACGAGGAGAACGTGTAAACTCCACAGAGAAACATCAGCTGGCTTAGTAAGAACTAGAACAGTGATGTCTTGCTGTGAGGCAACAGTGATAACCACCCATCTAGGAAAGGGGGAGGAGTAAGGGTGGAAGGGGGATTCTTCAAAATGAGGATGGCTGTTATATTGAACTTAGGGCATTTATAGTGGCTTAAGAATCGTCTGATTGGTGAATCTTAAATAAAAAACATGCAGGAACAGCTGCAAGCAATCATGTAATCCTCTCAAAATTAGTTTGTAAATAAACTACACTTAGTTTAGTATGTTCACTTGTTTGTTTGCCAATTATTTCTCCTTTATAGTCTCCTCGGGCCCTATTATACACCCGGCGCAATGTGGCGCAAGGCGCGACGCAATACTTGTTTGCTAGTCTCAGCTTGGCGCAAGAGTGGTTTTGAGGCGTTGCGCTACGCTCTTTAAATAGCAAATGCATCATATGTGCGCCCATAGGCGTTCTGGTCTAAAAATGAAGGCGTTCTGAGGATCCTTGTTGGCGCGTTGCTTTTTTGAGAAACTATAATAGATTTTTCAATAGACCAAAACAAACCCGGTCTAAACTCCGGCGCAGAGTTGCGCCTTGCTTACACACTGCTTAATACACACAAGATGTAGAGCAATACGCAAATATCTTTACACATGAAAAAATAAAATATTAAGGATATATATAGGATATAATAAGAATAGATATAGAATATAAATATAAAGGATTAAAATATTACAAAACATATTATTTTCTAGCCCACATAAATATGAAAAATCACTGCTTTTATGTCTTCTTCATCTCGGGAGGCTTTTTCAGTTCATTCATAACAATTTGCTTTTGTATAATGTTATTATTATTAGCAGTATTATTTATTATATCCATATTTATATTTGTTTTATTAAAAACAAGCTTAGATTTGCCCACCTGTCAGGTTTTAGACCAGCATGTGTTTTAGGATATAACTCAGGTTTTTGAGCACACTTCATTATTATTGTTCATTTATTCGTTTGCTGGAAATTAGAGCTGAATTTAGAAATAGTTTTGAAACGAATATTTGCGCTTAACAAACTAAATTAATTATTTATAGACTAATTGATGTCTGTGCGTAAAGGTTTCTCTATCCAAGAGCGAAAGTGAAAGTAGATAATGTATCTCTCATTCTTGTGTAGTAGATGCTCTGTTTAACTGTTTTCTGTTAAAAAACTGTCAACTGTTTGCTAGTGAAATGCTCAGTTTTTCCACTAACACTTACTTTACGTCCTGTGAATAGCAAATGCGCTTATGGCGCGACGCAAGGCTCTTAAAGAGAGATGAGACTCTGATTGGTTTATTCTCAAAACACACCTATAACTCATTAAGAAAATAAGCTAAACTCTTTTAGACCATGCGCCACGGCGCAAAGCGGATTTCCTCATCCCTAAATTAGCAAATATGCATTATGACACACCCTGAATGCGTTTGTACCCTGCGCTTTCCGTTTTGCGCATGGACCGTCAAAATAGAGCCCGTCATGTCTGCTGTCCGGTGGCAGTTTGTTGTCCTGTTTGAGTCCTCTTATGTCCTGTTCCCTTCCAGTCTACTTTGTCTTTTTAGTTATGTTTTTCCCCCTCGGGGTTGTTTTTGTTGCCTTTCTGTTTTGTTTTTTTAATAATTACTAAAAACTCATTATTGACTGCACTTAAGGCCTTGTCCTTTCCCAACCTCACCTGTGACAAAACCAATGCAAAACGTAAGAGAGTAAAAATAAACATTAAAAACAGCAGAACCAAATCCTATGCAAATGTTTATCCATATCCATTCGAGCTGGGTATACACAACGCCTTTTTTACTTTCACATAAGCCCATATGTAGTTCCCCCATCTGTAAAAGTTGTGTGCAAATTGTTGATGCTCATATGGACTTGTCTTGAACTGTGTGAGAGCAATAGACAAGCTGAGAACAGCAGCTCATGAGTTTTCGATTGGTATGGCCCGCAGCTACAGGTTCTGTGTGAGTAGCCAACACTAGCGAACAGCCCATGTTAATTCCATTAAGGTGATGCTTGGGCTTGCCCATTCAGGCCCAGAGCAGGCTGCCAGTGCTAGGCCTCTGAGAGTTTGGTAAATGGCAAAGCGTTGGCCCACACCAGGCCCACGCCTGCCCTAGATGGGCAGACCCCACTTTAACCTAACAGCTCGATCATCCTCCATAAAGAGTGATGATCCAGAGACATTTAAAGTTATAAACAGAAACAAAAAACACTGTCAAAACTTTCCATTTTACTTTAGTGTTAATCATATGAAGCTCCAGGAACACTTTTGTGTGCCAAAAAAAAGTAAAAATAGTTCACCAATGTCTTCCATATCAGATCAGGGAGTCTGTTTGTGTGTTCAGTGCTGCCTCTAGTGGCAATACGGGATACTTAATAAACATGTGCACAAAGCATTTACATGTTCTTTTAGTGTCTGTAAATGTGACAGTAAGATGTATTCTGGTTGATTACCCACTGTAGCTTGTGTTATGTAGGACAACATGTTAAACTGTATAATTGAATCTTACAATCACAGATGCCCCGTAAGAAACACCACCGGCGGCATATGCAAAAGTCACGATTCCAAGCAGGAAAGTCCACGCACCGATCATTATCTGGACAGCCTGTGAGGAATAAGAGAAAACAGTGTTAGAAGAACAAGAGTATTTCATGAAGTAAAACAGAGTAACATGCTGTGTGTTAATTATAGATGGGTCAATTTGAACGAATCCTCAATATGACTCGGGAACTACGAGTCCTCTCAGGGAGTGATTCGTTCATCCGCGCGTGCGCACATTTGTGCAGATGGTATCATTCATTTTAAGTCTTCATCACATTGAGTTATTCTTCGCGGAAAGACAGAAGCCAATCATATGTGTTTAGAGCCGGAAAAAGAATTAAAACGTTCATCTCTCGACTCCTCGGGTTTGAGTCATTTTTTCACGTGAATAACGAACGACTCTAGACTTGAAAGGTGAACTAATTATCATGGCTCCTATCGACTCAGACAGTGTACATTTGTTAAGATTATATGTGACTGCCAGTGTAACCTGAATGAACCCCTGACATTTGAAGACATGAAGAGGTGAGCTGAGCAAAATGCCATCATAGACAAAACAGCAGGTAAACACTGAATTATTATTTTCTCCTTCTTATAGTATTCCATTTATGACTTAATTGTTCTGTGATCAACCTTTTGGGCTAGTTGTAGATGTGTTTGGAAGCAATTCGTAACATTTTAATATCATTTTGGCAAACTGAACCAAATGAACAAAAATAATTGTCTGGGTTTATTTCTCACCCCGAGGACTTTTGGTTGGCCTTGCAGAAAGAGCTGAATTCCTTGATGAGGGGAAACTCCTGCTGCATGCTGCATGTGAACAGGCACAGAAGAACTGGTCATAGTCGGTGCTGTTTGTGTTGGTTGTTGAACCTGGATGACATGGGTTGAAGGATTCATGGCTTTCAGTTTCAGAGTATAAAATCAACCTGTACAGTCATAATCTAATAAAGCAGAAGAGGATACCATTTGAAATAAGGCTTTGAGGCTTTCTATATTTTATATATGTTAAAATCAAGTTTATATATTAAATTCAAGAGTTCACCCTTAGCTGATGAGTGAAAAATGATGTAAAAGTCACATGAATTCCTGCATACCCGTTCACACTGCGGTCGGATTGCTAAACACATTTGTAAAAGATTTAACACCACATATGAAAGTGGCACGAATCAGAATTGAAAAGATCAGATGCCATGCGGTGTGGGCTGTTCACACGAACACAGATCTGAGACTCATGTGGGCAAAAACATCAGATTCGGGCCACATTGACCTGCAAGTGTGAACGAAGCCTTAAAGTCAACTGTGTTAAACTGTGGAGTTAAATTAACATCAAAAGTCGTCAAAGCAGAGATCAACATCCCACAATGCAAATCAACAAAAAACACACAAAATAAACTGTTCGTTTCACAGTGTAAAACCAGTGCAAAACCTGCAGTTCAAGTGTGCATTGTAGACGCTGCTAATGTGTAGTCTTGTGTTGCCTCTAGCGCAATTTTATGAGGTGTAATGGTCACATACACTGTAATCCCGAATAAGTTGACAAAACTCAAAAAAATTGAGGTAATCAGTTACGTCAATTTTTTTAAGTTATGAAATTATCTATTTTAAGTAAACAGAAACATTAAGTTTTGAGTTTGTTGTACTCATGCAAGACACTTCACCTAACTTAAAATACCCAAGTTACTCAGCTTATACGTTTTAATTGCAATTAACTTAATTGTTTTAATTTTTCCAAACTTTAAATACTTAGTCACCCAGCTCATACATTTTAATACCAATTAACTTAATTGCTTTAATTTCTTTCAACTTTAAATACTTAAATCACCTAGCTCATACATTTTAATAGCAATTAACTTATTTTTAATTATTTATCTCACCTTTACATACTTAGTCACCCAGCTCATACATTTTGATAGCATTTTTTAAAATTAACTTCTCCATCGTCAGTTTCACAAAAAAAGCCATTATTTTAATCTTTAAACCCCATAAATCTGTCAAAATAAATCTGTAATTTAAAACACACAGACAATACCATTTTAGACATTTATTTTTAAAGAAAAAATGTCCAACAGTACTTTCAAATTTGTCTTCTATGCAATTACAAATGTCTTAAAACGATAAAAACTATTAGACATAAAGAGATTGAAAATGAACACTATTCTAAAATTAATAAAAATTACCCACAATGTAAATATGATATCAGACATAAGAGCCTCAAGAAAAAACAACTATAAGTTTGATAAAATTTTATAATACATTAATAAGTGTAAAACTTAGTCTTAAGGCATTCGTTAAAAAAAATAATAAGTGCACATTCTGTGAAGTGACTCGTTTAGTGTAAACTACACAGAAACTGTATATATATATATATATATATATATATATATATATATATATATATATATATATATATATATATATATATATATATATCGTTGAAGTCAGAATTATTCGCCCCCATTTATTTTTTCCCCCAAAATCTGTTTAACGGAGAGCAGATTTTTTATATATATATATATATATATATATATATATATATATATATATATATATATATATATATATATATATATATATATTCAGTCTTGGTTGAGCTATGATTCTGTCATTTACTTATTCCAAAGCTGTTTGAGTTTCTTTTTTCTGTTGAACACTTAAAAGGTTATTTTTGACCAAAAAAAAAAAAAAAAAAAAAGCTGAGACCTGTAACCACCGATTTCCACAGTATTTGTTTTCCTATTAGAAAGTCAGTGGTTACAGGTTGTCAGCTTTACTTAACTTTTGTGTTCAACAGAAGCAAGAAATTCAAGCAGGTTTGGGACAAGTGAAGAGTTAGTAAATGACAGAATTTTACATTTGGACAAACTATCCCTATATATAATAAAATGCATACTTACCAATTAAAGGTAAATAAATGTTTTGAAGTTACTAGCCCAGAGACAGTCTTTATTAAGAAAAAAAAAAAAAGCTCTACATTAACTCATTCTTTAAGGTTTCCATGCTACGAGACTTTTTATTTTCCATCATCCATGCCAAGCAAAACTTTTTGCACAAGTTCAAAGTCCTTTACTATATATTATGTGAAGAGCATACATTAATCCATACAAGACAAGAAAGGTCTGGAAGTGTGCTGTGGGTGGTGTCCAATTCATTCTTCAGGACAACAGAGACCCTCAGTGAATGCAGGGCCAATAAAGCATCTTCAGTCAGCAGGATTATCAATCTAAAAATATAATTCAAGGATATTAATGTAAGGACAGTATCAAAATGACTGAGCCAATATTATATGATTCATCAACTATTCGTGATTACAAATATGTTATTAAGTAAAAGTTTTCAAAACTTTCATCTTTTCATTAAACATGCCTAATTGTGAAAAGAATGAATGAAGTCTTACCAGGGTGTTCCTAAAGAATCTTAAGTCACGCTCACGCAGCAAGACCAAAAGACCTCTGATAACAGTAGTCCGTCATGAACTGACATCATGCAGTTCCTGGAAATCAAGAATCAATTTTTTTAAAATTAAAATAAAAATAAAAAAATTCAAATTATATTTTAATGTATACTTTAACACGTGACCCCAAACATACCTGCTCATCATAAACCTTTAAAAGATTAGCCAGGGTATCTGCTGTCTTGCCAGTTTTGGATGCTGTTTGCCTTAAAATTGTCATCAAATGAAATAGGTGGTGGTCCAGTTGTGCAAAGAATTTGTGGGGAAAATTCTCATTTGTAACATGTTGGTACTCTGCAAACAGCAAAAAGAAACAAGAGAGAATTTCATAAAACAAACCCACACCACAAAATATACAATTCTAGAAAAAATGTATTAATATTATTATTATGTTTCATTTACTTATCTATTTTTTACCTCAGATGAAAATCAGGTGTTGATCAGATGTTGAAAGCAGGATCTTCATGTTGTAAACTGAACTCAAGCTCTAGCTGAAGTTTCACTTTCCTTGCTGCAAAAGTATCATTGATAAATACACTGTAATATTTATTTTATCTGGATATGCCAGGCATAGTAGTTCAAAATAAATATTTTACCCACCTTTCACATGCCTCCATTTAAGAACCTATCTGTAGTCAGCAACACCTGTCCTTCAATTCTGTATGTACACAAAGTCACAGTGTCATTTAGCTGAGAGTGGAAGTAGTACAATTGCATGATGTCTAACGTTAACCTCCAAAATGGTTAGCAATAGAGCTGATTATCATGTTAGTTGCTTTAATTCGATGAACACAGATTTAAACAGTATTGAAATTTCTAAAACAGAATAGGACGACAAAGAAATTTAAGGCCTGATTTTAAAAGCTAGAAATAACAAAACGTACCTTATTGTCTAATGATGTAAAAATATATACTAAAATATTTATATTTTTAAGATATAAATATATTTTAAGCTACAAAATTTGCACATCAGAAAACTATGTCTTGTTTACCACGTCTTGAATATTTTGTTTTGTTATTATTTTATTTAATAACATAATTTTGTATTAATGTGTTATAGATATGCATACTTTGTTTTTTAGGCTGTTTATATTCTCTCCAGAGTAAACATTTTAAAAAATAGATTGAAAAAAAAAAAACTTTTATCATACCTTTAAAATACATTTGACCTAAATGACATTTAAACTCATTTAACTGATCGCATTAATCAGGTAATCATTGATATGCAGAGATGTCGTCTTAAGCGCGAGGAAATATTAAGTGTTGATCAGTGCTGGTGATTGAGGTAAAGTTAGTTTTATATTTACACATTCAGACTTTCTCCTTAATAATATAATTTCAGAAAGGTAATTTTTGCATATTCTTAATGGTGAAATCATATTAGCAGCCAATGACTTTCAAAGTACAACATAGTTCAGTCAAAAAAAAATAGTGCATTTAGTGTAATATTGTTTTCATGTCATACTTGCATGTGATTTCAGAACGAATAGACAAAGTACCATGGTAAACAATTTATGGAGCGAGTCACAAGTTGTTACTAAATGAATGTATGAATATAAAACCAACTTTACCTCAATGTGGTAGTGTAAATTGAAGCTCTGCTCTGTACCTGCTCAGGTGAGGAGCGCAGCTTAAATGTTCTCCGTCAGGCTATCCTCATACATGGATCAGCAAGCAACAAGCTGCGTGTGACAGAGTTAAGTTTTGAGACTACGCGTCATCAGAAAATACCGTTTAGTGTTTAGGCGGAGATCATTTGAGTTATGATTAACGTTACGTTTCTTGCGCCTTTCGTTTCCGAAGTGCCTACAGATCGCGAAGATAATACCACATTCACATACTGGATGGAGTTCAGCGCAGCGCCATGACATGCGGTTGTGAGAGCGCGCGTCTCCATGACAACTTCAGCACAGGCTGAGAAAAGGCATACTCGCGCCAAGATTTAAATTTTTTTGAAAAATGTAATCTGCCGATTTTAAATATTTTTGTCTTTATCACACTCTGTTAAAATTCAGAGTTAACACATTACAACTAACGCTAACGTTGCACTGATTCTAACTTTTTAAACAGTAATGTTAACGTTAGTTAGCAACAAGTGAGGCTAAACATGTTTTCTGTAATGTACGACATGTAAACGCACCCTGATTAACTCTACATTACATTGAACTGTTACTGTGATTATATTAATTAAAACATACATTTAATATTTCTTGGATTTGTAAATATTTTACTTACTGTAGTGTGAAGCGATGCCGATCCGCCATCTTGAAAAAAACGAATGAAGCATGAGCACGTACGTGAACCTGGATGACGTCAGACGCAAAATCACTAGGCTGACAGATTTTGAGTTAATGAAACTTTAAAGAGACATTTTGTATAGATTAAACCCAGCAGAATTGTTCACTTTACTTGAAAGATTAAATTTTTTCAAACTCAAAAATAAGAAAAAGTTCTAAATACTCATCAAGGTTAATTAAGATAAACGAATTTTAATGATTTAAGTTAATAGAACTCAATTCAATTAATTAGTTACAGCATTAGGGTTTACAGTGTATGTAAACAATAGAAAAAACACAGCTCAAGTTTAAAATGATCAACATCACCTACATTTAAAAAAGCCAAACAAGGTCCACTTGTTACAAGTAAAGGAAACATATTCATTATTACTTTAGAAAACGCCAACATAATAAGTACTTTTAAGCATGTAAGGTATTGTCTTACCAGATGTAGAATCCTGTTTCCAGCTGTGCTTTCAGACTTCTGACGTTACACAAGCACAATGATGCCCAGAAAAAGGAGAAGGCAGGAGGAGCTCGTGTAATTATGCTGCTTGCCACAGCTGGCCGCAGTCTTGTGGGTTAACAAAGCAAACAGCGAAACACAAGAAAAGAGAAATTTGTTATATGCAAATTACATGATTACACTGGATTTAACAAACAGTGGAGGGAGAAATGATTAGCCCTCCTGAGCAATATTTATTCTTAAATTTAGATTAAATCGATACTTAACAGATTCAGGAATTCACAGTATTTTTATTTTCTTCTGGAGAAAGTCTTTTTGTTTAATTTTAGCAGGAATAAAAGCAGTTTTAATTGTTTTTATTTAATTTTAAGGTCAATAGTAATAGCCCCCTTTAAGCAATGTTTTTTCGGTCACACTTTACAATAAGGTTCATTAGTTAATGTTAATTAATGGATTTACTAACATGAACAAACAATGAACAATGCATCTACTACTGTATTTGTTCATGTTAGTTAACGTTAGTTAATGAAAATACAGTTGTTCATTGTTAGTTCATGTTAACTCATGGTGCATTAACTAATGTTAACAAGCATGGACTTGGATGTAAATAATGCATTAGTAAATGTTCAATTAGGATTAATAAATGCTGTACATGTGTTGTTTATGATTAGTTCATGTTAGTAAATGCATTAACTAACGAACCTTATTGTAAAGTGTTACCGCTTTTTCTTTGATTGTCTACAGAACAAACCACTAATATACAGTGACTTGTCTAATTACCCTAACTTTAACAGGACATTAACAGAAGGGCGAACAATTCTGACTTCATGTGTAAAATCTCATATTCGCCACATATAATTCAAAGTATTGCAAAATAAAGCTTTTATAGAAGGGATTTATACGCAGGATTGTGTGGATTGCAGTGACACAGCGCATGCTCGAGTGACATCACTGTCGCTGTTACGCTAGCCTCGCTGCGTGTGATTGGAGTCCCAGATTTGCGGTCTTGAGATGAAACGGGCGTGGCTCTGGGAACAATGAAAATGACCCTTTAAAACCTGGTTGATCAGCCTAGTTTAAGCTGGGCATAACTGGTTTTGACTGGGCTCCCAGCCTGGCTAGCCTGGTCACGCGGGTTTTAGCTGGTCATCTTCCAGCCTGACCAGCTAAGACCAGGCTGGAAATGGCTGGAAACCAGACTGGAAATGGCCAAAACCCCTCTAAAACCAGCCTGGTCAACCAACTAAATCCGGCCAACCGGCCTAGGCTGGTTTAAGCTGTTTTTTTCGCTTGTATTTTGACCACGTTTACTGGATTACCTTATTGCCTGCACAACCTTGTCTTTAATAAAGTGCATTTGGATCTGCAAGTCTGTTCTCAGCGTCCACTTTGTAACAGTATGAGAGTGCTGAAATACGATGAGGGGATGAGGCACGCCAAGAGGGTCCTCCTCTTTAAAAAAAAATAGAAAAGAGTGTTTTGTTCAAGTCAGATCACTTCCAGTCAGAAAATAAGGGGCCTGTCATGGCAGGAAGAAAAACAGGAATGTTTCTAATTATGAAGACCCATTCTTGAAATTTGAGCCATGCATCCAAGTCAACACACGCCTGGAGCGGTTGGGAGTTTGGTGCTTTTACTCAAAAGGAAAGAAAGTGCCTGGAACTTCTCTGCCAGTGCTGGGACTCCAACTCTCTAACCATCAGGCCACGGCTGCCAACAGATAGATATTAATAGATTAATACCTGCTACATGCACTGCAAAATAATGCTTTTCTAACTTTGTGCCTTGTTTCTAGTCCAAATACCTCAAAATTCTTAAATCAAGAAGTATTTTGTAGACAAGTAAAAATATTGTTAAAAATACTAACAAGCAAAACAAAGAAAGGTAATGACTAGAGAATCTGGATATAGGACTTACAGCAAGAACGAGACCTCTAAAACCAATTGAAGACAAGAGGGTAGTGTAAGGATGGCTATTTCTCTCCATAATATTAAACCCTGAAAACGGTAATGGAACTTCACACGAGACAAGACCACGAGAATGGTCAGCCTGGTTTAAGCTGGGCATAACTGGTTTTGACTGGGCTCCCAGCCTGGATAGGCTGGACAAGCTGGTTTTAGCTGGTCGTCTTCCAGCCTGACCAGCTAAGAACAGGCAGCAAATGGCTGGAAACCAGCCTGGAAATGGCCAAAACCCCTCTAAAACCAGCCTGGTCAACCAACTAAAACCGGTCAGGCGCTAAAACAATACATTTTCTAATCTGAGATGAAGATCAGCTAGAAAACCAGTTGTTCAGGTTGTCTCGATCATGCATCCTGAGCCCCCCTCTTATTGCCCTGGACTTAACCCTCTCCACCAGAGCAGCTCCACACTGAATGTCTAAGTTTTCAATATGGTGTATCTTGTGGCTTTCTATAATTATGTTTGGTGTCATTTTAAATGTCTCTGTGTAATTGGTAAAGTGATCCTAATTTCAATGTAATACTTTACAATCTCCCTTATATCAGTTAATTTGGGTTTTGACTTCGATAAGATCTTTGCACAGATGCTCCACTCCAGGGAAAATGGTCTTCGCATCAACTCATGACCAGGCTTTTATTGTCCTGAATTTATGATGATTTGAGCATTTAGGCAAAGGGTGGAGAAGTGTCTGTGGGATAAAAATCAAACTTTCTTTAAGTAAGAGCAAGAATGGGGCGGCCTATTATTACTTAAAGGAAATTAGCTTATCTGCTAAGAATGAGAACTGGCGAGGATGTGTCCGTGAGCAGATGAACTGGCCAGCATACTGACTTTAAGAGACTTTGAGTAAACAATGAACCATTAACTAATAATAGGGATTTAAATTAGACCTAATTACAACCAATACGGTAATCAGCTTGAATTAGATGAATCTAAATTTAAATTATTATAAATTGGAGTCAGATTAAAATTCAAAGTTGGAAACAAATTTAAAAAAAAATTTAACAAAAATATTTTTCACATGTGCTGAAAAGGCGTACACACATTTAACCTTCACCCATGCTGTTAGTTCCGTCATAGGACTACTAGATGGACCCTAAAGCTGCACACTTGAGTTGTCTCTCCATAGACTTCCATTCATACGCAAGCGAATGTGTCAGACGGGAAACGCAGGGTCATGCGTTAAGTTTTGCAGGTCACTGCGGTGCAAAGTTCAAGCTTGGTGAACTCTGACCTGCGCAATTGCATCACTTGAGACCAATCGAGGATCAAAACATGACCTCTCTGGACAGAAATTTAAACCATGGAGCAATCGCTCGCTTTTTTAATGTCTAAATTCTGTCGCTGTACGACAGAATTTCGCACACACAAACTCTAGTGTGATCGCAGCTTTACAGTAGAATAAATAGGCAAGTCCAACAAGACACAGCGGAACAAGATTCACACAAATAAACCCCAAACAGAAACACTGGGGAAAATAGCGACATCATGTGGGGGAAAAGAGAAACAAACAATAGCTCAGAACATGACTAGCTCCAGATCTGGCTTCAGTACCGACTAATCTAATGTGTATTTATATCTACACGAGGGATCTCACGTAAATACTCATCTACACAAGGGAAGCACTTTAGTGTGGGTGCTGAACACAATGGCATGTGAGGAATTAATGGTCTACTCCATTGAGCAGTCTGAGACAGATCAATCATTCTTGGCTAGAAACAGCAACAGCTGTGGGAAAAGGGGAAAGTCTTCGTTAAAAGGTTTGGAAAACCTGAGGGATGAGTTTGTTAAAGCTAAAAGAGGCTTTTTTGCTTTTATTCTTGCCATAATAAAAATATATTAGTAGAGCAACCAAACGTATCCCTCAGGTTTTTACAAACTTTTTAACAAAAACGTTCCTCTTTCCACAGCTGTTGCAATTTCTAGCTGAGAATTATGTATCATCTGGTTATCTCTATGATCACAGATATACAGTCATAGCTGTTTGAGACAAAATCTCTTCAAAATGATTCATATTTAACTCAAATGAAACGCAGCGCCACGCTCACTGTTCACTTGACTTTAAAAAAAAATGCGCTCCGCCAGCCGAAATCATGTCGCGCGCACCCAAAGTGAACCTCCACAAACACAGCAATGACGTCACATTCGCCACGCGCACTCAAGTGAACTAGCAGATGCATCCAATATAAACCAGGCTTAACTGACCAGCAAAATAATACACTCTCTCTGAACATGTTGTGTCATAGAAATACAAAAATCAAATATTGCTGGATTCACTATTTATTCACAGATAGAAATAAGCAAAAAACGTATTATAATCCAAGAATATTTAGGGGTCCCTACAGATGGATCTAGAAAGCCTAGTAAGAACTGGTTTGCTAACGTAGTTGTGTCTGACTGTGGTTCGAACTAAACTTTGCATGACACCAGCCAATTTCAGGCATCCGTGCAGTAAGGATCGGGTTGTGATTTTCTAAGGATTTCTTAGGAAAGTGTGGTATGTGTACCGCTAGTGGCACACAGGCTTCTTTTAGTAGTACATAAATGAATCACAGAATTGAATCACACTGGTGTGATCACCGGCTAAACACTATCTGCTTTCCTGCAGTAACTTGCGTTGAGTCAGAGAAAGACACAGGCAGTGCTAGTCATAAAACAAATACAATTTATCAGTATTCAAACAAATAACATTTGAGAAATGCACATAGGTAATAGCAAAATACTTAAAAAATACACATGTAGATGTAAAATGCACAGTGATATCTATGTTGATGACTATAATAATCATTTTACACATAATCTGATGATGTGCTTTATTCAGATCAGATACACAATGGAAACTAGAACAGTTATAGCATTAAAGCAGCAGATCCACCGCTCTGCCCAGTTTTTTCATGTTGATTCACATTTATTTGCCTTCAGTGTACGCTGGGGGAGCTTCTGCAGGAGGATGTTGAAAGCATGGTTCTGGGACTTCTTGAGGACATTGAATGTACTGTTGGGGCATTTCTGCAGGAGGGTGTTGAATTAAAGGGTTGCTGCTCACAGGAATCTGCAAGATAAAGTGTACATGGTCAGCTTAAGTTATTGGTCAGTGTTCAACAATTATTGGCCCATTACCCAGTTCCTCACACGTTTACAGCACAC